GAGAGGTGGTAGGGATTGGATGGAGGGGCCAGCTGAGCTCACACCTGCACTTGGTGTTCATTGTGGATCCTCCTCTTTAGTGCTGAAGGAGTGTCCTGGAATTTTCTGTCCAGCTCCACTCTGTGGGCCGCGATGGCTTGCCTGCACTTGAAACCTGTTCTCCTGCTTGGGCGGGGCCAGCCCTGCTGGGCCTGCTCTTGGCCCTGAGCAGAGCCTGGCAGGCCTGGTCCCCCGGCGGCCTGCTCCTGGCCTTGCAGGCGTGGGTCGTTCAAGGAGAGTTCTGAACTGCAGGGCGCTTGAGCCAGCCAGTCCTTACGGGGCAGACCCGCCCGGGGTCACAGACAAAACCAAAGCCAGGGCCTCGGGGAGAGAGACAAGGAGCTGGGCAGCCCACGCCGGTGGGAAGCACTCTTGTGGGTGTTTACACGGAGCTGCCGGGGGTGCCTGGCCCCTGAACTCTGCTGGAGCCCACGAGCGCCCTGCTCATGCCCGCAGGCTGGGTTCTGTGCTGTTCTCCATCCCGGGCACCCGGCCTGAGCGCCCCTGCCCAGGTCACTCGCCTCCTGTGCCCCAGCCTGCTCAGCGGCATGGTCGGGACACCCTGGTTCCGATTCTGGGTTTGTCATTTGCATTTCCTAGGTGGCCTTGGGCAGGTCACGCAGACTCGTGCTTCCTCCCCCGGCCCACCTGTGCAGAACTGCGAACAGAACTGAGAGCGGAAGTGCCTGCCCCGGTGCCGGGACTGTTCGTGTTTTCTTTTTTCAAGTGTAACTTAAGTGGCGGCGAGGAGTGTGCACGGGCCCGTTTCTCTGGCGTCGTCGCACGCACGTCAGCGCGGCAGGGAGGCGATGTGTGTGCTCGTTCACAACCGAGGCCGAGGTGGGGGCCGCTCACACCGCCCACAGCCCCGCGGAACAGCGTTCCACCCTGGCCCCTCCCGCCCCCCCGCACACACATGGCGCTGGGCAGACTGGTTGTGGTTCCCCTGCGGCCGCCTCTGGGGGCAGTGAAGTTGCACGCAGGTCAGTGTTTTGAATGGAGCCTGACGGGGCAGTTGGGTTTTGTGGCTGACGCGTTTACTGAGCTGGTCCGTCAGCTGCAGCGCCGGCCAGGACCCAGACCGTGGACCGCAAACACCGTTTCCCACAGGGTTGGGGGGACCCATTCTCAGAGGAGGGGCGTCGGGTGCTGTGTGGGGGTCACACAGTGGGCCAGAGGATCAAGCCCTCACCCTGCCTGCCTCCTAAAAGCTGCTGTGTGAGGGGCCCGGCGCCTTCTCCGTGTGGACGTGGTCTGGCCGACGTGGGGAGCGCTGCTGACAGCACAGGGGAGCTTTGTGGGTGCAGGGGCCCCTGAGGAGGCCCACCAGGGCCTGCACGTGGGCCACGCCTTGGCCACCAGGCCCCACCAGCAGTTTACAGGGAGCACCAGGGCAGGGAGCCTGGAGCTCCGTGTGCGCCAGCCAGTCGGCGAGCGCTCCGCCTCTCAGAGCCCTTCAGTCTGCAGGCGCCCACCCTTCTCCTCCCTGGTCTGCTCCCCTCCAGTTTATTCGCCGGAGACGTGGCCCCTGGAGGTGGAGTGTGTGTGTCTGCGTTTGCTGCCCGCCCGCCCCAGACCCTTGCTTGCTGCTGACCCGTCCAACCCTGCTGTCCTGTGCCTCCCACAGCCCACTCGCCCTAGGACACGCGTCCCTCCAGCCCCAGAGTGGGAGGCGGCCACAGTGCACGTGGGCCTGGGTGTGCGGGGCAGGTCTGGGCCAGGGGCTGCGTTGCTCGGTGCCATGGTGGGTGGCCCTTGGTCTCCTGGGGACACTCATGGCCTCTCCCTGAAGGCACTGGTGTCCACTGTCCTGGAGGCTGTGGGCAGACTGGGTGTGGGACACGTCAGCCTTTTCCTGGGAACCGTCACTGCCCTGTCGTCCCCTGTGCTGGCGCTCACCACGGTCGCCAGCAGTGCCTGTGTGGAGTGAGATGGGGGGCGTGACCAAAAAGAACACTGGGGCCGCCTGGCGAAGTCCCAGGTGGGCACGTGGGTGCAGGTGCGTGGCCTCCACTCGCCACGGCTGTGCCTGGCCCACGTGTCTTCCATGTACGGGCACAGCTCACCGCCAGCCCCCTCGCCCTTCCCGTCCCCAGTAGGCAGATGTCCCAGGAGGAGGAAGCTGCGGGGCCGGGGCTCTTCCCCTGGACTTGACGGGGCCCCTTCCCTGGGCCCGGCCCCGGCTCTGGCCGTGGTCTCTGAGGAGCGCGCTGCTCTGTGTCGCGCACATGCGTGATGGCGGGGACGGTGCCTGTTTTGAAAGAGGGCCCGGCTGTCTGCGGTTGTTCCCTGCACAGGACGAGTGAGGCTCGCAGACGGTCCCCTCCGTGCTCGAGGGCTTGTCACGCCGGCACCGGCCGCGTCTCCTGTGGGGACTCTGAGCGCGTCTTTGTGTGTCCGCTGACGTCACGCATCTGATTGCGTCCCTCTGTTCATCAAGGCACAGCCTGTGCAGCGGTCTTCTCCCGCACACAGAGTGTCCTGAGAACACAGGCTTTTTGTGCTGAGGCCGCGTTCTCTAAGTAGAGAAGGTTGAATTGTTTGCTTCAGGGCCCTTTGGGTCAAAGGCACCAGCAGCTCTGTCAGGAACTTGTGGCATTTCAAATGGTTTTTGATACCAAATCAGAGTAAGTCATGTTTGACGCACCCGCTGGAGACTGGAATGAATGGGGACTGTGACGTCTCTGCAGCTGTTGGGCAGGGCAGGGCAGAGGACACCAAGCATGGGGGGCATCTGGAGGTGGGGCGCCCCGGGGAGCAGGCAGCCCTGCGCCCTGCGTGGCCCTCCTTGGCCCGTGCGGGCTGCCAGCTGGTTTCCAAGTCCCGCTGCAGCCGAGCGCAGTCGGCGGAAGTGGAGAAGTGGAGGGAGCTAGTTCTGGTGTCAGATGCGGGTGACGTTCAACTTAGCATTCTCTCTGCTCTGCTTCTGACCTTCTGTGGCAGCAGAGGCGTTTCTGCCCTTTCTGCTGACAGCAGACACGGAGGAAGTGCCGCAGTGGCTGCAGTGAGGACATGTGGTGGGGACGCCGCCACAAAAAGGCGGCTTTGTGCGTGACCCGGAAAGGCAAGGCTGGGCCTGGCTCGGGAGAGCACACAGAGACCGGCCCGTGAGCTGGGGGGTAAGCAGCCAGGTCACAGAGGATGGCTTTCAGGTCCCCTGTGGGTGCAGAGGGGGCGGGGGGCGCCAGGCGACCTGTCCCCGGTGACAGCAGGTTTGGGAGCACCCTTCCTGCAGAAGAGCAGCAGCCGCTGCCCCTGGCGGAGCCCAGGCCCTCGTCCCCACCCCCACCCCACCACACTTCTTCAGAGAAAGTCGGAAGCAAGTGGGGGGGGCGCTGAGCTCGTATAAAATCCTTGTTTACCTAGTTTGCTGTAATTTTCACGATGAAAACGATCAGAAAAGAGAAAAACAGGCACATTAATGAAATGCAGTCTTGCCAGCTGAATGGGGGTGGGGGCGGGGCCACGCTGACCCCCTTGGCCCTTTGAGAGACACTGTTGGGTTTTCCCACGAAGACCTCAAGTGAAAGCGCTCAGCAGGGGAGCCCGACACTCGGAATCCCGCACGCAGCACATAGAGTCAGGGGCTGCGTGTCACCGGTTCGGGGACCCGAAGGGGACACCAGCCGCTCCACAGCCCCTGCTCCTTAGTGCTTGACCGGAAGGGCTGGGGGATTCATTGCGACAACTGTGTGTCCTCTGGACAGTTCGGCCTCTTGTTCCTCTCCCGTGGCCCAGGGCCAGCCCACCTGGCTTGCCGTTGGCTTCAGGGTCTGGGGCGGAAAGGACCCGGGCAGCCGCATCCTGGGCGGTGCTCGGTCCCTGCAGGAGCCACGCGGCAGCCTGACGGCACATCTGCTGGGGCAGCGGAGCTCGGAGCACAGGGCTGCGTCGGCGTGGGGTCGGCGTGGGGTCTGGGCGCGGGCTCCGTAGGGCCAGCCTCTGCCTCTCAGAAGGGCCTGCCACCTGGGCAACGGCCACACGAATGCTGCCCCAAGGGGCGGTTCCCTGTGTGGACTCTTTTACTAGAATCTGTGGCAGCACAGATTTTCCAGGAACTATTATGTGTGGGGCCAGAGGGCTCTGTGGCCTGGGGGTGAGGTCCAGGGCATGTGGAGGGCGCTCCCGGGCAAGGCTGCAGGACCAGGCGAAGTGCACAGTGTGGTCTGTGCGGAGGGTCCGGCGGACCTGCCCTGAGGCGAGGGGGCTGCTCCTTGGTGGGGCTGGGGCCTCATCTGCTGCCCCGGCCCCAGGTCCGGGGCTTGTCAGTTGGTGATGAGATGGGTCCAGAGCAGACTGTAGGGGAACTTTCTGCACGGAATGGGGGAACCGTGGGCCTCGGTGCCGGGCCCTCACCTCAGCCCCTGCAGGGACGGCGCCCACATATCTGAGCCTCACGAAAGGCCTACTGTGGAGGCTGCCTTCCCAGGCAGGAGCCGTCGCAGCGGGAGCCCCGCAGCGGGTTTCTTGGAGACGTGGTCGCTGACCACACACTCTGCCGGTGCTCCTTCTCTCGCTCCGATCTCTGCTGCCTTCTGCGAGTCAGGGTGGACCCGCTGCTGTCTCTGACCCCCGTCACCTGTGCGCTCCTTGGTCAGCACTTGAACCAGGGAGACCGTCGGTTCTGTGCAGCGGAGATACGCTGTGTGTGCGCCTGGCAGGCCAACTGGGAGGGCACTGTAGGTTGCAGCCCGGAAACACGTGTGCAGAGAGCGTGCTCACTTCGCTGGGGAGATGGGCTCTGGCCCTGAGCGTGTGAGGGGGCCGCCTGTGGAGAGGGTGGGGCTTCGGTGCACCTTCCCCAGGGCTGACCTGTGCCGAGGGCCCTGCACTGAGCCTGTCAGGCAGGAGCAGGAAGAGGCATTGGAAACAAGAGCTACCCTCCTCACTGCTTACCAGGGGTTTGGGTGGGGACGCCTTGGCCGGCAGTGACCCCGCCCTGTGCTGTGCTCTCTCCGCAGTGGAGGTGCCCTCGACGCTGCCTTTGCAGGTGGCCCCCCCAGCGGTGCCCATGGACCTGCGCCTGGACCAGCAGTTCCCGCTGCCTATGGCGGAGCCTGCCCTCCGGGAGCAGCAGCTGCAGCAGGAGCTCCTGGCGCTCAAGCAGAAGCAGCAGCTGCAGAGGCAGCTCCTCATTGCCGAGTTCCAGCGGCAGCACGAGCAGCTGTCGCGGCAGCACGAGGCCCAGCTGCACGAGCACATCAAGGTGAGTCCCTCGCGGGCACGCACTTCCACCCCGTGGCCCCAGTTGCCGAGCCGGTCCCCGCAGCTGCTGCGCTGCTAGGACTTGGGCGGGGCCGTCCTCATGTGTTGCTACGACCGGGTCCTGGTGGTTGGCCCTGCTCTTTGGCCCGGCAGCATCTCGGTGACCTGGAGGGGCCACACTGTCCGGGCCGGTGGTAGGTGGGCTGTTAGAGGCAGAGTCCAAGGTCACCAGGTGGGCAAGTGCGTTTTCAGTTGGGATGCTATTGCCCCACTGGCTGGGGCAGCTGTCGGGCCAAGGTCTGCGTTCCTGGTGGAGCTCACCCATGGGAACCGGTGCTCGGGTGCGCAGCCCGCAGAGCCAGAAGCATCCCTGGTGGGGTCCTCACTCTGGTGTGGCAGCAGGGGGCCTGGCTGACCCTGACTTGGACACAAGGAAGAAGGGGGACAGGACGCTGGACACGCAGTGCCAGCCAGATCTCCACTTTGGCCACCTTCCAGTGCTGGGTTCAGAGGCGCCGACCTGGTGCTCTCAAGAGCTGTGAGGTTTTGTGGACATGCATTTCCTTCCTGGCTGACGTGCGGGCCGAGCGCAGGCACCCGGGCCATCGGGAGGGGTGTGGGCGTCAGTGCTGGCGGCGCACCTGCAGCCGTTGGTGTCGGGGCTTTTCCTGCCCATACCCTGAGTCTAGTAAACCCTGGGCCAAACCTGCGGCCCACCCCTCCTGCAGTCTTTGTTTTGCCGATCCCTGTCTTTGAAAAAAGCTCTTTTCTGTCCCTGTTAGTGGGCATAGAGTGCGTCGGCCATTTCCCCAAGCACCAGCCCTCCTCTTCAGCCTCCGGCTCCCAAGACTGTCCCCAGGCCCTCGCTCTGGAGAGCGAGCCTCTCGGTGGGAACCTGCGGCACCACTGGTGGGCAGCCCAGGAGCACGGGTGGGCAGAGCCAGGCCTGTGCCGGCATCCGGGCTGCGCCGTTTCACAAGGAACACTGTCGTTGTGACAGCTCTCCCTCCAATGGTGCAGGTTCGGACAGTGAGGATGTGAGTGGCTGGAAATTGCAGAGAGGAGAGGAGTGCTTCTGGCTGTGAGGCAGGTGGCCACTCCAGGGCCACCACCAGACATGCGTCTGTGTGTCCACGTGTCCGTGCCTCCGTGTGTCTGTGCTGCTGCAAGGGCGCTGCCACTGAGCTCCTGAGGCTTGTTCCCCGGGCTGTGAGCTCCCCCTGAAGCTGCCCCGTGCACTTGGGGACGGCGCTGGCGCTGGTTGTACTGCGGGCGCGCAGCGAGCTGTGATTGGACAGCCACCAGTAGCTGAGTCGTTGGGCGTGAAGGTTTTTTCGGGTCGTCGTGCTTTAGCTTCCTCGTGCGCCGGCTGTGTCCCATGTCCGACTGAACAGGGGCGGCACTGCCAGGCCCCAGCGAGCACGTTCCTGGCGCTTCCCTCTCGAAGTGCCCCAGCCTGAGTGTGCGTGTGTCTGTCCTTGTCCACTTCCCTCCCTCTCACACGCATGCACACAGCGGGCCTACTTGTGGACAGACGGCACTCATGACCACTGCAGGTGGCACTTACCGAGGCATCTGCGGTGGGGACCACAGGGCCCTGCAGTGACCACTGCCCGCAGCCTGAGGTTGAGCAGGTCTTGTCCCCGCCTCGTCCCCATGGCCTCTCTGCCCTGCGTCTCACTGTGCCTGGACTTCCTTGGTGGTGGGCCAGTCACTGTGCGCTGGTTACTTGCTGCGTGGCTCCTGCTCACTGTCCTTTCCTGGCTGCGTCCCTGCCACAGCGCTGCTCTGGTCTCAGGCACAGGAGTGCCCTGGGCACACAGAGGGCACAGGAAGGGCATGTGGCCTCAGTGTGCTGGGTGTGGCCGTGCTGCCATCTGCTGTCCCTCGCCCAGTGTCAGCAGTGACCACTTGTCCTGCGCACAGGTTGAAGCGTCATTCCTGAGCTGTCAGGAGTGTCACCTCGGCCATGGCACCAGTGCCCGTCTGTCTCACCTTCTGTCTGTCTGTGCGGACTTGCACAGCTCCCAGCAGGGCCTCTGCCCGGAGCCCGCCTGCTGCCCCTCCCCTCTCGGGGGCCTTGAGGCCTGCTGACTGGCTCTGGACCGGGCTCACTGTGGGCATCGGCACCGCGAAGCGAGGGCCCTGCCCTGAGGGTCAGAGACGCCTGAGTCGCCCCCAGGCTCTGCTCTCAGTGCCTGTTCGCCAGAGGCCGCGGGGCAGCACTGCAACGGGCAGGAGCACCCCAGCTCGTTGGTCGCTGTCTCTCAGGCTGGCAGGACAGCGTGCAGCTCGGGGCCACGCTGTTCTCAGCGTTTCCCCTGGGTCTCCTCGCGGACTCGCAGCAGCCCCCCCAGGCCTCCTAAGCGTTGGTGGGGGACCTCCGTGCCCAAGTGGAGGGGTGGGGCAGAGCCCGGCTCCCATCCGGGCAGTCGGCCTCCGTGCTGCCCCGCCCAAGTGCTGGGTGCCACCAGTGTGGTGTCTGGGCGCCTGGGTGGCAGATCCGGGGAGAGGGAGGGAGTGCTTGCTCCCGCCCACCGTCCCCAGTTAGGTTGGCATCGTCGGCGGCGTGTTTTTTTTCTACAGGGAAGCTGGAGAGCTGCCCTCAGCGTCCGAGGGCCCCATGGGTGGACACCAAGCTGGGTGCCCAGTCCTGGCCCCTCCCTGCCCCCAGGCCTGGGCCGCCTGTCCTGGGCCCGTGCGCTGCTGTGTGAGGGCCACACTCACCCTCATCCAGACCTGGGCGCTGTGGGTGGGCACCACAGCCTCTCCCCCACCCTCGCTCCTGTGCTGGGTTGGGGCTGCCACACCCACCTTCCTGGCCCTTTGTACCCTGTGTTTCCTGCTGGAAATGTCCCTTCCTCTTTGTGGACACCAGTCGGTTGTGTCTGGGGACCAGGCTGTGGTTGGGAGTGCCACCCGCTGACTGCTCACTCAGTGCTTCACTGCCCTGTGTGTGACCATAGGGGTGGCCGACTGGCCAGCTGGAGCTCAAGGCGTGTGGGTCTTTGGGGCTCTGCCCATAGGCAGTTGGCACGGCAGCAGGGCCAGGGGCTGGGCCCCACGTGGTCAGTGTGGCCGGAGGGCCCGGTTGCCGCCCCACGCCCCCTCCCACACGCATAGGCGTCTGGGAGTTGTGGCTGTGCCCCTTTGGCTCACTCAGCCACTGCCTCTCCCTTCCGAAGCTGTGCTGGACGTTGCCGCTCGGCGAGCACACATACGCACCTTTGCACCTGGCCGGCGGGCCTGCGTGGGAGCCCAGGGGGGCCTGTGTGGGCAGAGCCCCGGGGACCCAGATCGACCTCGTCGAGGGGGCAGGGGCGTCAGAGTGTGGTGGTCCTGTGTCCTGCACAGAGGCTGCACGGTGCCTGGCTCCCGGAGGCCTTCCCTGCACGGCCTGGCCGGCACGGGCCAGCACCTCTCTCCCCTCCCCGGGGACGGGCATTGGGAAGGGCCGGGGTTCCTAGGGGTAGAGATTGTCTCCCATTTACTTCAGAGCGCTTCTGTGAGTCTCAGTCCTTCCTGCTGACCCTTGGAGTTGGCCACTTGCCATATTCCTGTAGGTTCACAGCAGCCGCTGGCAGGTGGAGTTCGCCGCACGACTGCACACTGCGCGGTTTTTCTCCTCCGCCTCGTGCATGTCAGCTTCGTCCAGTGTTTGTTAGAGAGAGAACTTCACCTCCTTCCAAGAGGACTGGTGTAAAGAACGCACAGCAGATGTCAGGGGTCTCTGTCGGCCGCCTCCCGCGGCCCCACCCTGAGGAGCACGCCCCTGCCCCCGCCCGCCCTGCCTGTCCACCTGCCACAGCCCCGGGACGGCCTCTGACTCTGATCCCCAGCTCACGGGGTCTCCTGTTGTGGAACGTTGCAGAGGCAGCATCTGTACCTGTGACTCCCAGGCCCCGGCCCAGGCCCCGTCAGCGGTGGGCGTGTGTCCCTGCATGCTCTGCAGCCCACCCCTGCATCCCTCCCTCACACGTGAGGGCAGTCGTCCCCCATGGGGGCACACAGTTTGTGCCCAGGGACGAGGGGGTGCATCAGGCCGGGGCTGCCCTCAGCACCAGTGCCGCGGGTCCTCCATGGGGCTCTGCGCGCTTCTCCTGGGTGAGTCCCAGGCGAGGGCGGCTGCGCCCGTTCCACACTCTCCTGTGTCCTCCTCAGAACAGCACCCCCAGCTGGCAAGATGGCGGAGCTTCTCTCTCAGGTTTTCTGCCAGGACTTCAGTTGTCTTGGTTTTCCCTTTTAACACAAAGCGCAGACCTCTGGGCCCCGAGCAGCCTGGTGCACCTGTGCTCTGGCTGGGTCGAGCTGGGCTAGCATCGTAGGCAGTGCTGGCTGTGGGGACGGGGAGGGGACAGGCCCTGCTGGCTCTGTCCTGTGTGTGTTATCCTGCCGCACCCCTCTCTGACCTCCTCTCTTCTCTCCCTGCCTGCAGCAGCAGCAAGAGTTGCTGGCCATGAAGCACCAGCAGGAGCTGCTGGAGCACCAGCGGAAGCTGGAGAGGCACCGCCAGGAGCAGGAGCTGGAGCAGCGGCACCGGGAGCAGAAGCTGCAGCAGCTCAAGAACAAGGAGAAAGGCAAAGAGAGTGAGTCCTGCCTGCGGGGGCGGGGGCGGGGGGTGGGGGCAGGGCCATCCAGGGGGCGTGGCTCTCTGTGCCCCGCCCCAGAGGCAGTGCCAAGGTGAGCCGCCCCCACCTTGGTCTTAGTGCCTGGGTCCCTGCAGGTTCACCACAGGTGGCTGTTGCAGGCTGCCCTTTGCTTCTGCCTCCAGGGTGGGCTCTCTCCTCTCGTGGGGGCTGCAGGAGCCCGCAGCACGACTCTGGGTCTGACCCAAGTTGTAAAGAACACTTGGCAGGTCCCCAGTAGACTGCAAAGCCGTGGAGCCTGCCATATGCATAGCATGCCCCACCCATGAGCCCGAACGTCTCAGGTCCTGTCCCTCGGAGAGCCTTTGGCGAGGGCCTGGAAGGCCGGCGTCAGCGTGCAGTGTTCCCGCAGCTGAGAGGGGGCACTGCCACCAGGCCGCTTCTGTGGTGGCTGTGTTTGCATATCTGGGGACCAGGGTGTGTTACCCTGAGAAGTACCTGGGCTTGGTCTCACCCTGAAGGCCCCTCTGTGTGCCACCCCTTTTGGGAAACTCCCGAGTCTCCTGGTGGTGGGGGGACGAGGCCACAGCCCCCCCGATGATCCCCGGGCCAGGACAGAGTGCACTGTGGGCCTGCGCGGTACCTCGGTGGCAGGCGAGCAGCCTGAGGCAGCCCGTGGGGTCTGCAGTTGGGGCTCCCCCCACCACCGGGTCCAAGGGAGTGTCCCCCACCGTGGGTTCTGTGCCATCGCAGGGACACCCCACGGCCCCTCCACAGAGCACGTGGGTGTCCACGGGCCCCTGCCCACCTGGCCCCGTGCCGCGCTCAGCTGCGCCTGGTCGATCTGCGCCAGCCTGGAGCGCGGCAGGGCACGGTGCTGCCCCAGGTTGGAGCGTGGCACTGGTGGTCGGCACTCGGCACGTCCCGTGCTCTCGCGCAGAAGACTTCTCACGCTCCCTGGGACCCGGCCCCACCCCCACGTCCTGACCGGTCCCCGACCGTTCTCACGCGGGTCGTCCCGCAGGCTGCTGTCTGAGCGGAGCATCCACACCAGCGCCGCGCGGCACACCCGACCCTCGTGTGCAGCCTGTCGCACTAGGCTGTTCTCGAGCTTGTCCTCACGGTGTGGCACGCCCACAGGCCCCTCTCGCCCTCCAGGCCCCCTCCCGCGGGCCTGTGCAGGACCTTGCAGCACTGCCGCCACCCCTTCTGCCCAGAGGCAGCTGCTCCCCGACACCCCCCGGCTACTTGCTTCTGCCTCCCGGAGGGCTGGGGTGCTCTCCCGAGGCCCCTCCTCTCACTTGGCCCTGTGCTGGCATCCCCGTGCCATCCCTGCCGTGGGCCGGCCCTCCCTGCAGCCCGCCGTGCACATCCAGAGTGCCACAGGCACACGGGCTGTGTCCAGATCAGGGCCCTGGACACGTCACCGGGTGGGGGGGGGGCCCTGTGATGTGGTGTTGCTGGGCCGTAGGGTGAGTGTGGCTTCAGCTTCCATACCTGATACCAAACGGTCACAGGAGCTGCTGTGCCGGTGTGCGCTGCCGCCAGCTGTGGGACAGTTCCTGTTGGGTGCTGCTGTCGGTCACTGTCCTGTCAGCAGGGCACGTCAGCTCCTCATGGCTCAGCGAGTTTCTCTGATGGTCAGTGAGACTTGGCCCATTTTGCCGTGAGGGGCCAGAGGATGTCCTGGTGTGGGGTGCCCGTGTGTCCAGCGACCGGGCTTCCTTTCTCCTGGCGGGGAGCTGTTCTCTGCGTTCTGCAGTCCAGCCCATTGCTGGGGCTCGGGGGCACATTCCTGTGTCCGCCCCCGCCTGCCGGTCACTCTGCCGAGTCCCGTGGACCTGCCTTGACTTCTGTGAGAACCAGAATGTGGCCTGATCGGTGCTGTTAGGTCCGTGTCCTTTTGTAGGCCTTGAAAATGTTTCCTCTTCAAAACGGGTGGTTCTTTTTCTTGGGAATGTAGCTAATGTTTTCTCTTTATTTTTAGTTTGTCTTTCTGCTTAGTGCTTTGTAAGTTCTTAGTAATTGTTTCTGTGTATAAAATTAGCAGCTTTCGCGATCACTTGCTGGTATAAGGGCTTACTTGTAGAAGAGCGCACATGTGCTGTGCGGGGGGGGCGTCAGGAGGGCTTGCTGCCCTGTGTGATTGAGGTCCTGCCCCAGGGTTTAAGAGTCACGGCTGACCTAGTGGCACAGTGGAGAAGGGGTGCCAACTGCTGGCTCCGTGGGCACCCGCAGTCGCAGTTGGCACGGGGACGAGGCCACCCGGAGGAGCTGCATGGCAGACTCTGCCATGGTTGGCTGTGTGCACCTTGGTATTTGAGCACAAACTGGGCCCCCACAAGGGGCTGCTGGGTACATGGTGTCGGTCACCCTGCCCGCAGGCTTGGACCGAGGGGCCCTCCTGGCTGGGGTGCTGAGCCCACGAGGGACACGTGAGAGGCGCCCTGTGTGGGTCCCCGTGACCTGACGTGTCCGTCTGGAGTTCAGAGGGGGCGTTAGTGTTGTCCTCTCTGAGACCGGATGAGCCTCCTGCTCCACGCGAGGAATCTCAGTGTCCTCGAGGCTCCGTGACCTGCCACCTGTGGCCCACCGTCTGCCGCTGCCTCCCCCGTGGACAAAGGCCCAGTTCTCACGGGGCCCTTTGTGGGCCCTGCTGCGGTCAGGATGCCTGTGTGCCACCGAAGGCCACATGTGGCCTCCCCCCCAGGGCCTTCCGTCCCAGACCCCGCCCTGCTCGGGGTTTTTCTCTGAGGGAAGGAGACACTGCTGTCGACCACGGGAGTTTAGCTTGTCGGCGTCAGCGAACCGGCCTGTGCCCGGCCGGCCGCCCCGCACCGGTCTCTCTGGCTGCTCACAAGTAGCTCAGTCCGCAGCCGTCCCTCCGGCTTCACCGGCCGCTTCCTACACGAGTGGCAGGCGCAGCCTCACAGAACTTGACGTCGGAAAGCACCTTGGATCTGAGAGTCAGAATCGACCTCTGCGGGCCCGCGGAGCGTCCCTCACTGCAGGCCTGGCCGGCGCGTGGGAGCGCCGTCTGCTCCATGCCTGTCGTCGCGGCCACTGGAGGGGTTCGGGTGGCGGGTTCGGGCGGTAGGTCTTGTTACTGGCAACAGACTGTGCGCGTGGGCGTCGGTGCGCTTTGGTGGGCTCTGCCGCAGGCGGCCCTGGGCTGCGCTGGGAGGTGCGGGGCGCATGCGCTGTTCAGCTTTTGGGGTTTTTTGAATGAATTTCTTTTTGAACGTTTAATTCAAAGTCCTTTCAGTTTTAAATAATTCTGCTGTTTAAAATTTCCAATGTCGATTAACGCCATTCATTCGCTCTGATAGAGTGGGGAATTCTCAGGTTTGTGGGGGTTTTGGTATCTCAGCATCGATACACAGTCTTTCATCAGTTAAGTCGGACTTGGATTTATAGCCTTCAGGGGTCTGAGATACACCATGTGCTGTGTTTTAGTATAAACTTAAGCCCTGACCAGGTAGCTCTGCTGGTTAGAGCGTCATCCTGCTGTGCCAAGGCTGTAGGTCTGACCCCTGGTCGGGGCATGTGTAAGACTCAACCGAGGAGTGCGTGCATCGGTAAAGGAACAAGTCCGTGTGTGTCTCTCTCACTCACGCTAGTGAGTAAAAGGTGAGGAATGGATGTCACAGCAGATGCCTGCTCTCCGAGCAGACTGGAGCGAACGTGCGACCCTGCCCACCGCGCCTCGCAGGGGCAGCAGCCTGGGCAGGTGAGCTGCCGTCCACCAAGGAAGGCCGCGCCGGTCAGAGCACGGCTCCAAAGCCTGGGTTGGAGGACTGGACGCCTGGCCCTGGAAGCAGTTGCTTGTTCCATGCGCCTTCCTCCGAGGCAGGAAGGATGAGTCAGTCTGGGGCGGAGGCAGCGCCCGAGGCGTTCCGTCTGCAGTGTCTGCCGGCCTGTGCTGTAGTCCCTTGGCCTTGGCCCCCGGCTGGCCAGGTGTTTCCACCCGTCCGTTCTGCCACCGCCTGGTTTGCTCCTCCGCCTGTCTCCTAGCCTGTTCGGCTTTCGTCTGCCTGTTCTTTCTCGAGGCTGCCCCCACCCCCCACCCCCGCCCTCCCTTGTGAGAGGGTTTTGTCTCTTTCCTGTGGCCACATTGGGGCGGGCGAGTGGCAGTCAGCACGGAGTAATGACTTTAGAAGGTAGGAGTCGGCACCCCGGCCGGCGGCTCAGCCGGTGCAGCGCCGTCGCTCTCACCAATAGGCAGCGAGGCCCCGGTCGGGCTGCAGGGAACAGGCTCGTTTCCCTTCTCATGTCCCCATCAGTGTCGCCTTCTCTCTGTCTCACAAAAGCATCAGCAAACCCTTCCTCGGGTTAGGGTTTCCTTGAAGTAGAAGTTGGAGGCATTGGCATTTACTGGTTGAGGAGGCTCTGTCGGTTCCAGACCTTGGACTTACAGTGGGAAGTCTGAGGAGGGTGCGCACGTGACCAGAAGCGCGTGGGTCAGAGCCGCAGCTTCCCCTCTGAACTCTGTCCTCAGGGAGAAGCCTGTGGCTCGGGTCCCACGAGCTTGCCGCGGGTGGGGCCTGTGGGGGGCGCGAGCACTCGCACTGGGGTCAGGCCCACCGGCCCTGTGAGGGGCCAGGTAGGGCCACTCACGTGACCACAGACCAGTGGCCACTCGTTACAAGGTGGCCTTGGTCTGCCTCGGGAGGGAGGTGCTGCTTGTTCATCATGTCAGCCATTTGGGCAGGCAGGGGGCCTTCCAGGGCATTCTGGAGATGAGGAAGGTCTGGGTGCGGGGCGCTGGGCTTGTTCTGCTTGATTTCCTGAGCACCTGGTACGTGCCCTCCCCGTGGGGCCCCTCAGCCCCACAGACGCCCCTACTCCTGTGTGAGGGCCCTTTTGGCATCGCAGGGGACAAGGGCCTCTCCGTGTCCCAGCCTGCTGGTTGCCTCGCAGGTAGCACAAATGAGCCAGCGTCTCCTCTGGGCAGGGCTCGTCCCCTGCCCAGGCCTTGCCGTCCTTGCCCACCACCGTGACTTATGGCACGCTCTCCCTGCGGGGACTGGGCATTTGGGCTTCGCCCTTCCCGGAGTGCAGGGCCCGGCACGCAAGCCAGAGGTGTGGCCGAGTCAGGGACGGCAGAGGCCGCCTGAGCCCGTGCTCTGCAAGGCTCTCAGTCCCTACAGTGCCTGCAGGTGAGAAACTCCACCCCTCTCCTAAAGAAAGTGGCTGAGTAAATCCGTGTTTCTGAGGTAGGACACGGTGACACCAAATTTCCGTTTGCTGGCGCCTCTTGAGGCGCAGTCGTGTTCTGCTCAGTGAGGACTCTGCGTTTCTCCTCCTGCTTCTCATCACCCGCTCCTTCTGGGACAGCGAGTTTGCAAGGGCCTGGAGGTCCTGCCCTCTGCCGGGCGTCTGGGTCGTCACCCCTGCCACCCGGGCAGGGACAGCGGGAGACACAGGTGAATGGTGACCTGAGTGCCGGCTAGTAGAGGCCCAGGGCTCCCCGGTAGTTCTGAGAGCTGGCGAGACGCAGGGGTCCGCCCTGGTGTGGGGCCCGTAGGAAGGCACGTGGTGGTCAGCGTGGGGAGCATTTGGAAAGCATGTTCCCGAGGTGCACAGGGGCTGTCCTGCTGGTTCCGCCCAGTGCCACCTTGAGCTGGCCCCTCCTAAGGGACATTCTGCACGTGGGCCTCGGTGTTGGCTGCATGTTCTCTGCAGTGTGGCTTCTGTCTGACACAGGGAAAGCCTGAGCACGCCTCGCAGTCACAATGTGGCTTTGTAAGCCCGTGCCACCCACCCTGTGACTGTCCGGTCACTAGAAGCCCCTGTAGCAGCGGGAAGCCTGGGGCCACTCCCGAGCGGAGGGTGCACACGGAGGCCGCACAGTCTAGCAGGAGCTCTCGGAGGCAGGGTGGGCGCACAGGGCGCATGTGGGGGCGTGAGTGGGGACTGAAGCTCCACGTTCCCGAGACTGGCTCGTTTGTGCCGCCTGCAAGGTCCCTGCCAGGCTGGGACACCGAGGGGCTCTTGTCCCCTGTGCTGCCAGAAGGGTGCTCACGGGAAGAGGGGCATCTGCAGGGCTGAGGGGCCCCCAGGGCAGCTGCGGGCCCTGTCGCTGACTCAAGGCGGGGAGAGACCTGTGACTAACTGCCATCGCCACGCGTCCACGGAGCGCACGGCTTCAACTTGGGACGTGCTCTCTGCCTCCATGGCTGCAAGGCTGGGAGGGACAGAGACGTGCTCTCAATGGGGCTGGAGAGGGGCTGGCTGCCCGGTGGGCTGGGGGCTCGGCAGTGGCTGGACCAGGACGCAGGCTCATCCCTGCTGCTGCTGCCGTGGGAGGGACGCGTCAGGGCACAGCCGTGTCTGAGACTCCGCTCTTCCGCTGTGGCGAGGAAGAACCCACGCTGCTGCCTGTGCTCAATCCAGAATGTTCTGTGTGAGAATATTAGAACTTCCTTCAGGGTGGGTCTCGTGTTGGGGGACGGTACGTTTGCATTCAAAGTGGAAGGCGGGGATGTGCAAACCTTGGTGGGGAGGCCTCTCACTAAACCTGCTCCTGGGTTTCTCCTCCCCTCGGGAGGCTCCCGTGGTGTCAGCAGCCTCCCGGGTGAGAACCCCGCTGTCCCCGTTCCCTTGCCTTGCCCTGGCACAGAGCCGCCGTCCGCGGGCAGAGCGAGCACCTCATCACCGTCCTGTGCTTCCTCCTGCCCCAGGCGCCGTGGCCAGCACGGAAGTGAAGATGAAGCTGCAAGAGTTTGTCCTCAACAAAAAGAAGGCGCTGGCCCACCGGAGCCTGAACCACTGCCTCTCCAGTGACCCTCGCTACTGGTACGGGTGAGTGGGCGGGGCCCAGGGCGCCGGCCGTGGCCGGCAGGTGGCACCAGTTCTCCACCGGCAAGGCAGGGGGACGGTGTGCGTTGCGACACCCCCAGGTATGTAGCACATGCAGTGAGTGGACCGCGCTGGTCCAAAGGCAGCCGTGGCACCCAGCAGGCGTCGGGCGCCTGCGAAGGACTTGAAGGCCACCAGGGCTGGTACCTGCCTACCTGTCCATCTGTTCAGGCCGAAGGAGGAGCCACTTCTGGAACTCTGGTCTCAGGTGCCTACAAGCACCCTCTGAATTTCTTCCCCACGTGGCACTGGTTCCTGGGGAGGTCAGTATGCCGGGCTGCGGACCCTCTCCCTGAGCCTCTGTGATGGCAGATGCCGGCAGAGCCTGGCTGTGCTGAGAGCTCGGAGTCTTGACCTTGGCAGTGGCGCCGTGTGCAGGGGGCACTCGGCCGAGCACACCTTAGGCGAGCTGGCTGCTGACACGGGCCGGGTTTGGAAGGGCTCGGCGAGCGGGTGGCCTTGGATCCTGACCGTGGATGCTCCGTGTGATGTCTGGCTGCTGTGGGACTCGCTCCATTTCTGGAGGAAGCCCGCAGGCAGGTTTTATAAATCAGGGTGATTGCCATTTATCTCATCGGGAAGGAATGGAGCTGCCCCGAGCCCCAAAGTCCTGAAACCCCAAACCCCACTGAGGTGGCCCATGTGTTCCCCTAGATGACATTGCTCGTCACAAGACAGCCGTTCCCACCCCCGAGCTCTCCGCCGCTGCTGCCCCCGCGGGGGCCCCGGCGGTGCCCGTGCCCTGACCTGCCGACGGGGTCTGTGTGCCCAGCAGGGACACAGTCACACCGGAGGGGAGACCGAGGAGGTCCGTGGGAAGCCCCGAGACACCTGTGACAGGGAGGGCTCCTCAGAAGTGCTGGGGGCAGTGCATTTGGAGACCCCACGTTCGAGTGGCACCAGCCAACTTGTGGTCCCCCAACTAGTGACCGTCACGAGGCTTTGTTGTGGGGAAGCTCCACTGTCCCCGGTGGGGCAGCCTGGTGCACGTGGGGTGGGGAGTGGCTGCGGTGTCGTCTCCGGGGCTGAGCCGAGGGCACAGAAGGAAGAGAAGCCTGGGCAGGGGTGGCCTTGGGCAGACCAGGTGCCGAGGACCGACGGTGCCTCACTGCGGTGAGGCTGGACGTGGCGCTGCTGCAGAGGAGGGTGGGAGCCAGAAGGGGGGCGCTTCAGAGCTCACTGCCTGAGAGCAGGGACCGTGCGGGCCCAGGAGGGGCCGATGTGGCCCCCAGGGAGCGTGGTGGCCCCAGCCTCTCTTGGCGAGGGTGCTCTGAGACTGGGGGCTGGGCCGAAGTGGGGCAGGCGGCTGGCCGTTCCTCTGTTTGGGGTGTGCTTGGCGGCACTCTCCTTTTGTCCCCGTGCCGTTGCCACCGAGGAGCCTGTCACACTCACAGGCTGTGTCACAGGAGACAAGTCAGGAGGCGGGGCTCACGGGGAAAAAAAACCAGACCTCTGTCCTGGCGCCGCACCGTGCACGGTGGATGCAGGCGTCCGCCTGGCCAGGAACGTGGACTCCAGGGCACTTCTGGAGGAAGCCACGGGCAAGGGCTCTCGTGACCTTAGGGGGAGGTGGCGGAGTTCATAGGACGCTGGAATCATCAGCTGGTAACTGAAAACTCAGCGTGACTCGGTTAAAGTTATGACATCCATTCTCTGGAAGGTACCATTCTGAAAACCGGCAAGCCACAGACTGGGAGGGGACGCACCCCAGGTGTGTTCCCAGTGGCCTGTGACCCTGCGGGCACAGGGTTGGGTGCTGGCGCCTGAGCCCTCCACCCCAGGGTCGGCACGGCCAAGCCGGAGGCGCCGAGGGACAGGGACTGGCTCGCACTCCCGGCTCCCGCACCCTGCCGGGCCGCGCTGGGGCGGCACTCGTGCTCTTCCTTGGAGTGCGGAGCCGGGCTGCAGGGCCTGTGTCTGGACTCTCCGAGTCTGGGTGCACGGGACGGTGCCCACCGGGCCACCCCAGGGCGGGGGTCGTGTGGGGCAGCCTGGGCCAAAGCTGTGGGCTGGGGACGTAGGCCACATCCCTGCCAGGTGCCTCCTGGTGCAGCTCTTGTACCCGAGCTGGACGAGAAGGACGGGGTTCAGGCCCAGCCTCACTCGGGGGCGCCCAGGCAGCATGGTTCTCACGAGGTGTGGCCTGCCCTGCCCACAGCACCCCAGGGTGGTGGGGAGCGTGGCTTCCCCTCTCCTGAGGGTTGTAAACGGACCGAGTTGAAGTGTGTTACCAACAGTTGCCTGCAGTCACGTTTCACTAATAGTCGGTGCTTTTACTTCTCACGAGACACACCGGTTTTCTTGTGTGTCTTGTGAGGAGGAAGTGAAGTCACTTGGCTCTGAGAGAGGTCTGTGCTGTCAGGGGAGGGTGTCAGCGCCCCGGCCTGGAGCCGGGCCTGGGGAGACGGTCTCCAGAGCGGGGCCTGCGGGGTCTCAGCACAGCTGCAGGTGAACGGGAGGGCTTTCTGCCCCTGCCGCCCCTGCCCAGCCTGAGCTCCGGTCCTGGCTGCACACATCCCTGGAACCGTTGTTCTGTAGTTGGGGGCGGGGTGGCCTGGGGGTTGGGCCCATCGATTGATGGGGTCTCCGTGAGCAGCACTTTCTTCATGCCCCCTGGCTCCTGAACACTCAGGTACTCCCCCCCCAGAAGCATTTAGGGACCCCGGTTCCTAATTCAGCAACACCAGGTGCCGATATAGGGAGTGCGATGTGTTCAAGGAAGTAGTCTGGCAGGTTGGCAAGTTTGTTTCCAATCATTAGGCGGATTACAGTTAGAGTTTTCCAGTGTTCATTCCACCTCGTGGGCTCCCACAAGGCTCAGCTGGCTGTTAGCAGCACAGTTTGCTGGTGGTCCCCCAAGGCTGCTGACCCCAAGTTTCCTCGTGGCAGCCAGCCCTCCTGCCCCCACTGGCCAGCGGAGGGTCTGAGTCCCTCCTGGCTGGTTGTAAAAGAAGCGTCTCTGCAGATCGGCTCCCAGGCAGCCTGGCCGTCCTCTGGAAGCAGGGGATGCGCCCGGCAGACGAGTCTGTCCTGTGGGAGGCGGGCACGTGGCCAGATTCTCTGCTGCAAGGAAGTTCCCTGAGGCTCCTGCTCTCAAGGGCCCAGATGTCACCAGCCATCGCCAGCAGATGTCCCCAGAGGCCGCCCCAGCCACAGCTTTGGACCCTCCCATCTGGAGCCCACTCGTCTGCCTCTGGCCCGTGGGCCCTGGTGCAGGCCCCTTGGTGCCAGTGTTGACCCGGCGGCCAGAACCCACGCGAGGGCAGGGCCCTCCTGACAGCAGTGGCCGGGGACCAAGTCAGACAGTGTGGCTGCACCTGCCTGGCCCTGGGTCCGCACCACTGTTGGTCCCTGTCAGTCTGGTCCCAGAGAGGCCACCAGCTGGGCTGGGGCTCCCGCGTCAAAGGGGGCTGAACGTTCACGGGGAGGCCCCCCCGGCCATGGTCCCCGCGCTCACCGAGTGTCTCTGTGTCCTTCCCAGGAAAACACAGCACAGCTCCCTGGACCAGAGCTCCCCGCCCCAGGGCGGGGCGGCGGCGGCCTGCAGCCACCCAATGCTGGGCCTGTACGACGCCAAAGACGACTTCCCGCTCAGAAAAACAGGTCGGCCCCGGGTCTGGGGGGGCGGGGGTTGGTGCTGTGCGGCCGCGTTGCGCTCACGGAGAGCCCTCGCTGCTGCTGAGTGTGTGCTGCTTCGTGAGGGCGTCGCTCTAAGTGCTCTCCCGAAAGCCGTGACCCTCATGGACACACGCCTGCCCTTTGAAGCTCACTCGTAAGCACGCAGACTGGCCCCTCTCTCGGTGGCACACTGCGCTCTGTCCCGCCCAGAGTCACCTGGTGGGCATGGGGACGCAGCGGCCTCTGTGATGGGCCTCAAGGTCTTGCATCACTGGCCCTCAGTGCCAGCTGTGGGCAGAGCCTGGGCAGCAGGGGCGGTGGACACTGTAGTTGGGGGCTGTGGGGGAAGGGACTCAGTGTCCCTGAGGGACAGCGCAGCGGTCCACACAGCACTTCCGTCCCCAGCCGGAGGGGAAGGGTACTTCCAGGAAAGCGGGCTTTCCCACTTGGTCCAGTGTTGGTGGTTTAAGAAGGCATTGGTGGTTGAGGCAGATGAGAGCGGCCGTGGCTGGGCACGGGGGCTGAGGAGGGCCAGGGCCAGGGTGGAGAGCTGTCCTGACAGGCGGGAGCCTGAGTGGCAGGGGAGCCTGGGCCACGGGGCAGCGTGGGCAGTGCGGGGACACCTGGGTACTGGGGATGGTGCCACACTGCTTTGTCTTCCTAAACATAGACATTGTGGTACCAGTGGGTTTTGGTTGATCCTGGGCAGAAATGGGTGAAGCAGTCACAGTCCAGGCAGTTCTCCCCAGGGGTGGGGCACTGGGGGCAGGGCTCCCTGCCCTCCACCCTAAGACAGCTGTGGGCCTGTCAGTGGGCGGGTCTGTGCCAGAGTGGGCTCCGCTCCCAGGGGAGACCAGGAGCCAGAGCCAGGAGGTGCAAGGACGGGGCTAGAAGCTCAGCCCAGGGAGGGGCCGATCCCAAAACCTGGACTGGGTGTTGGAGGGAAGGGCCGAGCCCTGCTCAGACAGGGGTGGGGGTTCTGCAAAGGTGAATGAGCCCTTTTCTGCTGAGGGGCGTGTGTGGCCTCTGTTCCTGTCACTCTGAGGGTGTGCTGCTCACTCCCTGTCCACAGTTGAGAGCCCTCCAGCTGGGTAGCAAGACGTGTGTGTCAGGGTCTGGGGGCCCATCCTCCAGGTGCCCTCCACGTACCCACAGGGCTTGTCATTAACTGAACCTCACGGTGAGCAGCACACCGGGAGGGAGGCAGCCCCAGGCCGGGAGGGAGCGCAGACGGCCCTGGGGAGCGGCACCGTCCACCAGGCCCTGCCCTAGCAGACCGCACCCCCAGGTGACGGAGGCAGCAGCAGGTTGTGACGGTGACGAGATCTCAGAGCAAACAGCTCGGGAGGGAGGTGTCCCGTTCCCTCTGGAGGAGTCTGCGCACACACTCCGCATCGCCCGTGCCGAGTTAGTCACACCCGCGTTTCTGCTGGGATCAGCCCAGGAAACTCACGACGTGGAAGTTAGTTACAAGTTTCCTGGATGAATTAAAAAGACCGCCTTTGACAAGTGCGCTGCGCTTCAGTGGCCCCACGGTTTCCTTTTTAATTTCTGTGGATCCTGCGCTCCACTCGACCTCGTCCGAGGTCAAGGGCGTCCCTGCTGTCCCTCCCTGCCCTCCAGACTCGTCCGCTCTCCCTGCCTGTGCTCTGGCGGTCTCTGGGGTGGCATTTCCCCCCGCTGCGCTCCCACGCAAAGTGCACATGTGCCCACGAGACTGCACAGGCTGGGTCAGAGCGCCCGTGCCTGCTGCCAGGACGGCTCTCCCCCCTCGGGGAGCACCACCCTGCGCCTTCCCTCGGTTTTGGCGCCTGCGACGGGCTCTGCTTTTGTTGTCTGAAGCTTCAGGACGCCCTCGATCTTTCCGCTGCCAACCACCCACTCTGGCCAGACTCAGCAACCCCGGCCCTCCCCTCGATGCCAGAAGTCAGCCGGAAACCTGGAGCCTCCCTAGGCAAATGCCTGCACCTGCCGCCAACTCTGCCCAGCGGGGCGTGCCGTGCTGTGCAGGGTGGTGGGCACGGCGTCCAGCCCCAGGCTTGTCCTTCTTGCCCCCACCTGAGCCCCCACCTGAGCCCCCACCTGCAGATCAGCTCAGGTGACACAGCCCATGGCCAGGGGACATCCCCCTCCCCGTTCTGGCGACAGACATCGGGGTGCCTCCACCTCCCACCAGAATGTGGAGGGCTGTTTTCTAGGCAAGGGGGCAGAGAGAGTGAGGCGGTGCCACTGTCCCTGGGTATCTGAGCCTCTCGGAGCCCAGCAGCGACAGGCGTCCGGAGGTGTCGACATCCCAGTTCCCAGTGCATGGGTGATCCTTCCCGTGTTTGTGGGGCAGCAAACGGCTTCATGGGGCCGAGTCCAGAGAAGGCTGGCCCTCCAAGCACATCTGGTTGCTCTGGAGGCTTGACTCATGCTCCCCAAAGAGCAGACTCAGCGGCCTTGAGGTGAACACGTGACCTGAGTCCCGCAGTCCTGGGAACCAGTCCTGTCACTTGCCATCGGGAGAGCAGTGGACTTTCTGTTGCGGGGAGACTGAAGCCAGCAGGGCTGCTGACTTTAGACCAGCAGAGGAAGAGGCATAAACTCACTAGTTCTGCCAACTAGGCAGGTCAGCAGGCAGGAGCAGGGGAGCAGCTGCGCGAAACTCACGGCCGCAGTCCCACCAGCATCTTCCCACTGTCCTGGCTCCGGTGCTAGTGGCCTGGCGGAGCGGCGGGCTCCTGGGCCCAGCATCCAGACAGGGGGCGCCCCTGCTTCCCAGGGAGGCAACCAGCTGGGCCTGGGGCGGCCTGGGCTCGAGGTGCAGAGGACTTGGGAACCACCGTGGGCTTAGAGTCACAGGTTTGCAAACAGCTCTGTCCGCACAGGCAGCGCTGGCAACAACCGAACCCTGGCAGAAAGCCTGTGCCCTGTGCTAGGGTGACCGCCACGGCAGGGGTGCTCACCGGAGCTCAGCTGTGGGAGCCAGCTCAGCCGGCTCTCCTCGTGGCAGGGCCGCGGTTGGCACCCTGGTGCCAGTCATTCACGGAGAACATCTGCACTTAGGCCGCATGCCTCTGGGTTGGGACACGGGGCAGGTGGACAGGAGACGGTGTGGTCACTGTCCACGGGGCGAAGCCCTAAGAGCCCTCTGGCCACTTCCGCCTGTCTGCCGCTATTTCCCAGGACCCCACTGGCGAGCTCGTAACCCTGGTCAGAAGAACGTAGCCAAACGCGTCGGCTGTCCTTCATTCACTTTGCAATAGGTGATTTCTGCCCACAGGCCTTGGGGACCGTGCCCTCGCTCAGCCCTGGAGCAGCACTGTGTGTGACCCTGCAGGTGTTGGCCCAACCTGCGTGGCGTGAACCACCCCCAGACGGCCTGGGCCTGGGCAGGTCTGCCGGCCGGTGACGGCACTTCCTTCCCCTGCAGCTTCGGAGCCCAACCTGAAGTTACGGTCCCGGCTGAAGCAGAAAGTGGCCGAGCGGCGAAGCAGCCCCCTCTTGCGCAGGAAGGATGGGCCTGTGGTCACTGCACTCAAGAAGCGTCCCTTGGATGTCACAGGTGTGTTGGAGGGGAGCTGGGGCCCCGTGCCCACCAGCCCTCACGGCCCCTGTGCTGTGCGCTCCCACCCCCACAGTGCCGGCAGTCCCATAGACACCGTCCTGGACACAGCCCTCCTGCTCTGGCCGGGGGCTGGGCTGATGGCTGGAGTTCAGGTCGGGGTTGCTCTGAAGGAGGGTCCCCAAATCCTGCCCCGCCCGTGGTCAGCCACGGGGGTGCAGCCTGCTTCAGCATCAGTGCTGGGCATCGGAGTCGGCTCACAGAGGGTCCTGCAGTGGGCGGGCAGACACGGGAGCTTAGGGTGGCCACTGCCTCCCAGTGCGCAGTTGCTCTTGGCCCCCACCTAGTGGTGAACACGCAGAACATGCCCACTGGGCAGAGGCTGTTCTGAGGGGGCACCCCCTTCACAGGTGTGCACCCCATGTCCCTTGGTGCACTCCTCCCAAGGGTGCTGCCCTCCCCTAAGATGTACCTCACGCTGTCCCAAGCCACACCTCGTCCGGAGGGCACCTCCACTTTCTGGGGGTGCCCTGTGTCACCAAGCTGCACGTCTGCAAGCACAGGACGGAGGTGTGGCTCAGAGGAGGCCTGGACTCGGGAAGGGAGGAGACCGTTGCACCGGGTGCGGTGTTTGGTCTCAAAACCAAGGCCCGCGGGGGGAGGAGCAGGGGCCTCGGTGCGGCCGTGCCATTGTGGGCAGCCTTGCACTCAGGTCCCAGCAGCTGCGGTGTAGGATGGGTGCCTGGTACCCTGCCCCACGGAGCCCGAGGTCCCTTGGCCCAGGGGCAGCTTCAGCCCGAGATCTGCCTCTGCAGACCTGTGGCCTGGTATGGAAAGAAGGCTGGGGACCCCATTTTTGTCTTCCTTTCCCAGCATAGAAGCTTCTGGCTTCTCTGGGGTAGAGACGCCTTGCCCGAGGAGACAAAGAAGTGTCGTTTGCAGTGCCCCCCAGGTCTCACCAGCTGGGGTGTCCCGTGTGAATTGGGGAGTGCTGTGCGTTACAGTACTGTCTGCTGGGGCAGGGCGAGCCCTGGCGTGCATTTCCAGCTGTGCCCTGGCAGAGTCGTCCGCAGGCGGCTCCGGAGCTACAGGAAGTGCCGCCCCGTCGGCTATGGCTGCTCAGTGCTGCTGTGAGTCAGGCCCAGGCTGGGCACGAGCAGCGCAGGTCCCTGTCATCCTGGAGCTTCCGCTCTGACCTGTGAGACAGGCGCAGCACCTGGTGTACACCGGGTCGTGTCCCGTGGAGAGTGTACCTGAGGGCGCTGGGGCCGGCGTGGGGGCAAGCGGCACGGGGTCAGGAAGAGCTCGAGGGACAGTGTGGGTGTCGGAGACGTGAGGGACGAGTGGCCTGGGCAGCTCAGGCCCTGGCGGCTGGAGGGGGAGAGTGCTCTGAGCAGAGCTGACTCTCCAGCCCAGAGGAAACAAAGGCCTTCTGGGAACGGGGGTTTGCCTGGGGAGGGCGCCCAGCCTGCCCGGGGCGTTGCCGCAAGCCTCGAGCCGAGCGGGACAGAGCCCTGGCCTGGGGGAGCCGGTCAGGGTGTGTGTGGGGAGACGGGAAGGACAGGGGGAGGATGCCGGCCGAGCCCGTCGGTGCCTGGGCAGGTGAGTCCTGCCTTTCCCAGCTGCTGTGAGAGCCGCCCCCAGCGTGGAAGACGGGGGGAGGGCAGCAGCCTGCGTGGGGTCGGAGGGCTTTGCCGTCAGTGCACGAGCCGCACACGCACAGTCTCTTCTCTGCACCTGCACACGGCTGAGCCCAGGCCTCACGGGCTCTCGTGTCCTTCCCTCACTGGGTGCTTCGCACACGCGCTGCGCGGCACGTTTAGCCTGTTGCACCTGCCACTGCAGGGAGCGTGTGTCCTCGTGTGTTTCCGCAGACCAGGCTGGAAATAGCGGGGCCGAGCTGGAAAGGGGCGCAGAGTTGGGGATATATCCTTCTGTCCCCTCAGAGAGCTGTCCCGGTTTCCCCGCCGTGCCCGGGACTTGACCAGGTGGCAGTACTGGGAGGGGCGTGTTTTAAAGGAAGACTGGATGGGATTCTGTGTAGCCGGAGACAGGATGGCAGCAGGAAAGGTCCAAGCTGGGCCCTTGGTGGCTGCGGCCAGAGTGGGGCAGAGAACGCAACCCCTGTGTCCGCGGTCGCCCCCCTGGGGCTGAGAGGACCGCCCAGACGGGGCAGCGTCCTCTCCTCGGTCCCCATGGGCAGGCGCAGCGACTTGTGTCTGCTCGGCGACTGGGGCCGGGTCTGGCGTGTTTCCCTGCGGCCCTGACCTGTCCCAGGATCCGCTTGCTCTGCTCGCCCTGGACCTCGGTGTGGCACAGGAAAGCGGAGAGGGCTCAGTCCAGAGTGGACACTGAGGGCAGTGGCTTTCCCGGTGACCACATGGGCCTTCCCCTGCTGTCAGTCATGGGGACTTTTCTGGGTGTCCTGGCCATGGGTGGCCGAGTGTCAGTGAGTGTGCAAGGGCTGGTGCTCAGGTGCCGAGTCTCGGAGCCGGGAGGTAGGCAGGACTGAGGGTGGTGAGGAGGGGCCGCGGCCAGGCTCTCTCCTGTGGGGGCTTCCCCGGGACCCACGCCCAGGACGGCGATGGTGCCTGTCTTTCTGCCTGCAGACTCGGCCTGTAGCAGTGCCCCGGGCTCCGCGCCCAGCTCGCCCAACAACAGTTCCGGGAGCATCAGCACGGAGAACGGGATCCCGCCCGCCGCTGTCCCCAGCCTCCCGGCCGAGGTCAGTGCCCTGTCTTCCAGCCAGTCCCGTCTTGCTGGCCCAGGGCAGCTCCGAGCGCTGACCTGCCTGTGGGACTGCGGCTCTCGGGTGCTTTCGCGCTCTGCCCAGGTCTGGGAGGGAGGCTGAGGAGCTGGACACCCGCCTGGGGCCCACTGACCCCCTGCCTCTGCTCGCTCTGCCCCCTGTGTTGTGTGTCAAAGAGTTTACTCACCATTAGAGGGAGGCAGGGAGGGGGACTCTGTTGCCACCACGCCAGATGCCCCCGCCGGCCATCTGCCGTGCAGGGGACGTGCTGCTGAACGGAACAGCCTCTCGTACCGAAGGGTGTCTGTTCTGGCAGCGGAAGGTGGTCAGCGTCTTGGCACTTCAGCCCCTTGGAGACTGCTGGCCGCTCGCACGGCCTCTGCCCTGCTCGCCTCACTCTGTCCAGGCACCCACACAGTCCAAGTCCACTTCTTAAAAAGTGTGACACGCGGCCACTGGTCTCTGATGTAACGACAGCCCCCAAACGAGGTTGCAGGTGATGGTGAGCTCCTCCCCCACCTCCTGGTGTCTCGCGTGCGCACGGGCCTCTGGGCCCCCACCAATAGCTGTGTTTGATCGAGAGCTTTTTTCGTGTGCACTGTGTCCCACCCTCGGCATTTTTTGCCTTGTATGTGAGGGGATTTTTTTCACCGTTACCCTCTTTGGTTTCTGCCTTCAGTGTTAGTTTGGAAACACGTTCCCTGCTCTTAATAACATACTTTAGAACACACTGTCGAGGATTCTATCCTCTTTTGGTGGTTTTGCCACGACCGAGCAGTTGGAATGAAAACGAGCTTTTGATGGGCCATGAACGACGTTTTTGTGCTCGCCGCCCCCTGCAAGGCGGTGGCTCACCCGCCTGCCGCTCGGTCGGTGAACGTGTCCTCCCGCTGCGGCCTCGGCGCGTGCGTGCAGCGCTGTCTGCCCGGGAGGGGTGCCCACACGTGGCAGGGGCAGACTCGGCGTGACGGCTCTTCTGTTCTCTGTCCCCAGACCAGCTTGGCACACAGACTGGTGGCCCGAGAAGGCTCCGTGGCCCCACTGCCCCTGTACACGTCGCCATCCCTGCCCAACATCACACTGGGACTTCCTGCCACGGGCCCTTCTGCTGTGAGTAGGCGCCAAGGGGCCGCGGGGGGGTGGGGCGGCTGTCCAGGGGCAGCTTGGACCTCACCAGCTGGGCCTCTCCAGGGGGCGGCAGGCCAGCAGGACGCCGAGAGGCTGGCCCTCCCGGCCCTGCAGCAGCGACTGGCCCTCTTCCCCGGCACCCGCCTCACGCCCTACCTGAGCTCGGCACCCCTGGAGCGCGACGGCGGGGCGGCGCACAGCCCTCTCCTGCAGCACATGGTCTTCCTGGAGCAGCCGCCCGCGCAGACCCCCCTCGTCACAGGTGAGCCCTCCTCGTGGCCTGGGGCCAGGCCGCGCCCCTGCCTCCGCCCCGCCACCCCTCGCGGGTTCAGATGTGATGTCATGGCCCACTCGCAGAGCTGGGTGACGACACGTCAGTCGCACATCCTGTCCTTACTCACGTGGTGGCGGCCCCTCTGGCATGAGTCCCCGCTCAGGTCCACTTGGGCACATGGCAGAGCACAGCCCTGACCGGGCTAGACGGTCAGCGTACCTACCAGCGGTGAAGCTCGTAAAACCCGTGCATGTTTAAAGACTCGGTTCTGCTCAGGAGACAGCGGGAGGTCTTTGGTGGCTCTTGCGCAGCTGCGGTTGTGTGCCACGTCCCTGAGGAACTGCGCGGTCGCCTCCCACACCAGGCACCGTCTGAAGCTTCACGTGTGGCTTCTGGGTGCTTCTCTGCTCAGAGTGAGAGCGGCAGCGGCCGCCGAGCTGCCCTCTGAACCTGCGACACCGGCCTCAGCGGGACGTGCAGGTGCCGCTGGCAACGGAGTCTCGAACGTGGCGCAGGCAGCTCTGGACTGGTGGGCTGGGCTCCGTCTTTTCTTTGTCCCTCTCAGGCACTTAGCTCCTCCGGGTCCCCGGCTGGTCTGGACTCAGGCCCGTGTCCCTCCAGTACCCAAGGGCCCAGAGGGGGGGACAGCTCCTGACGGCTTTCCCGCCTCTCCATCCGGTCCTCAGGCTGCCACCAGGGTCCCTGGAGGCCTGGAAAGTCCCCTCACTGTCCAGCTCGGTGCCCTCCGTTGACGCTGCAGTGGAGAGTGAAGGGCAGACTAAAACCTCGGTCCCTCAGGCACATGTGAGGCATGGCCGGTGCTCGTGTGGCTGTGGGCATGGCCTGGGCCGCTGGCCCAAGGGGACACGGGCAGCTCTGCCCCCCTCCTGCGCCTTGCCAGGCGTCCGCCAGGTGCCTCCTCCCCTCCGCACCTCCGGCCCCTGAGGGTGATTGTGGAGGCCACTCCCTCTTCCTAAGACCCTTCCTTCCTCCAGGCCAGGCCCCGAGTTTTCTTCCTGTGTCCCCACGTCCCCGCGTCCCCGTCCTCTGCTCCCATGGGCTCTGCCCACATCTGCGGCAGCTCACTCTGTGTCAGCCTCCTGCCTGACCCCCTCCTGGAACCTGGGCCCCGTGAGTCCCCACAGCTCCGCACCCCCTGCCCCCTCCTCCCCGGCACCCACGCCGTCTGTGCCGTGCCGTGAGAAGGGCCGCGGCGAACGTCTGGGACTGAACACGGTGGGGCCGCGTCTCTGGCCGAGTCTGGGCAGCACCAGCAGGAGTCGCTGTGGGTCCGTTGTCAGCGCGGTGGCACTTTCCCAGGTCGCGGGCCCACAGACCTGCCCCCTGCTGGTAATCCTGATGGGCAGACAGACATACAGACAGACTGATTGAGCTAGAGCAGCGCTGTTCACACGTGCTCTGGGAACAGGCCCCCGTGGGAAGAGTGGCTGGCTGGGTTGGGCGAGCGAGGCGCAGGGTCTTGGCCACCGTGTCCCCATCCCTTTCCTGAAGGCCCCACGGTGCCCGGCCTCTGTCGGCTCACGCATTTTCAGTCCTTGGCTGCCTGGTGAGGCGCTCTGTGTGCGGTGCCGCGTTCCAGGGGACCAGGGCCCCGGAGGACCGGGCCCCGGCGCCCCCAGAGGCTGATTTGGGCGGGCAGCCCGGGCAGAGACCGTGTTGTTGGGACCGCTCCACACGGAGCCCTGGGCACTGCCTGGACCAGCTGTGTCACTGGGCGAGCTGGCTGGCAAGCAGCACGCTCAGACCCAGAGGGGACCCCGGAGCTGGTGGTTGGGCACGGGTGAGAGGCCGGGCGCCTGGGCAGGTGAGCCTCGGGGAAGGCCACCTGGGGACGTGGCGTTGCTGCCGAGACCTGAGGGGAGCACAGCAGGCGAACAGGTGGGAAGAAGGCCAGATAGAGGGGCAGGTGCGGGTACTGGGGGGTCGCTCCAGCCTTGTGGCCACTCCCAGGCCCTCCGAGAGGTGGCGAGCTCGGTTCGTTTGTGGTGGCTCCTGGTCAGACACCCGTGACCCGGGGCACTTTCAGCCAGACAGGTGTTGGGTGTTTGTATACCTCGGGTTGCTGGGGCACGTGTCCAGGTAGCAGGGAAGGGGGTTGCTAGTTCCTTCCTCGCAGAACCTGGGGGAAGTGGTGAAGGGCCTAAAAGTTTGCAAGAGAAAAGCCAGACGGGTTGAAAAGCTACAGGAGGAGAAACGCAAAACTGCCTGGGCCCTCAGGGAGAGGTCACGTGAAGCTGGACGGTCCCTGTGGGTGCAGACCCTGGTGGGGACACTCGGCCCTGGTGCGGGGGTGGGGCAGTCGCCCTCCTGGTGGCCAGTGGGCTTGTATGTAGGCACGACCTTTAGAAATTTGGGGGAAGAGGTTTTGGCAACATCCATCAGGATTTCTGAAAGTGTTAACACCCGCTGTGTGTGAAGTCAGTGCTTTAAGAGACCCTTGGAAGAGTTTGCCACCTGAGGACAGTTTGTTGTCCTCGCACTTCATTTCGGTGACAGGGAGGAGCCAGCTCCCGCCGCCCCCTGCTCAGCCACAGTGCCGTCCAGCCCCGGGCCTCTGAGGGGCCTGGGGCCACTGTCTGTAGGGTGGGCGAGCTGCGCTGAGGCACACAGAACGCCTGTCCATGGCAGTGACCCTGGTGTCAGAGGCAGCAGCCTCCAAGGCACAGCTCCGGGTGCTGGCGTGGGCTCGGGGAGGGGCGCCGGGCTGGCACTGCGCTCCCAGTGCCTCCGCCCGTCACTCAACGACCTTCCCCCCCCTCTTCTCCTCTTCCCTCTGCTGTTCCCTCCGCGTTATCTTCAGACTGGTATCTTTCAGGCCTGGGCGCGCTGCCCCTGCACGCACAGTCTCTGGTCAGTACAGACCGGGTGTCCCCCTCCGTGCACAAGCTGCGGCAGCACCGCCCGCTGGGGCGCACGCAGTCGGCGCCGCTGCCCCAGAGCGCGCAGGCCCTGCAGCACCTGGTCATCCAGCAGCAGCACCAGCAGTTCCTGGAGAAACACAAGCAGCAGTTCCAGCAGCAGCAGCTGCACATGAACAAGGTGGGTGCCCGGGCCCCACGGGTGTGGGGCGTGTGTGCGGCAGGCCCAGCTCTATGCCCTGGTCAGCGCCGTGCGCGCGAAGGGTCCCTGCTGCTTTGCGCTGGACCCCACATGGTCAGCACCGCTCTCTCGAGCTCCTTCCGTACCTCGTCTTCTCTAAACAAACTCGCACCGGAAGGTTCCGACTTTGCAGTGCCCCGGAGTCCCCAGAATCACATTTTTGAGTCGCTGGGTATTGCAGTGTGCTTGTGCGTTGGAACGACGTACCCAGAGGGTTACTCCCAGGCCAGCCCAGCGACGGCTGCTCATCGGCAGAGTCCCAAAGTCATGGGGGGGCCACTGTCAGCAGGAAGTGGTGGGGAGGAGGAGTGTGACCCTGGAAACCAGCAGTTCCGCTGTCTTTTCTCAAACGCTGGCCTGGGGAACAAGCGTCTGTGAAGTCAGAGAGGGAGGGGAGTCTGGGGGATGGTCCAGCGTGTCCTCAAAGGCAGACGAACAGCGGCCGCGTGGCCCAGCAGCCCCCGTCGGCCCCTCCTGTGCCCAAGAGCATCAGCAGCACATGCCACATGGGGACTCGCTTGCCAGTAGCAGGGACAGCCCAGGCGATGGCCGGCCAGAACGGGCCCTACTGGCCCCCAGAGCACCACGCCTGAAGCACCCACACTCGCGGCCTGTGGACGGCTCTGGAAAGACCGCGCCGAGCGGAGGGAGCCAGGCCAGGCCATAGGCACGGATGTGGAGTGTCTGGTGCAGGCCAGGAGGTGGGTGGTTGCTGGGGTGACCGCGGGGGTGAGAGCGACGGCCAGCATTGTCGGAGCCTCTTCCCGAGGCGAGGTGCTGAGCGTGAGGCCTCGGTGGCCGTACAACGTGGTTCCCGCACAAGCCACTCCTGAGTCACACAGCTGGGAAGTGTGGCTTCTGTGGCCCGTGAGTTTCACGTCTCCCTATTCAGGAAGAAGAGGACCAGGTGAGCGAAGGCGGCTGTGGTGACTTGCAGGGCACTCGGGCAGACTGGGGACGGGCATGTTCCATCCTCCCCGTGTCTCTTTCTGGGGAAGGCTGACCCACGGTGTCCCCTTTTTCAGGGGCCCGCAGTCACCGGCACTGCCTGTCACATAATGAGGCTGTCCTGTCTGCTTGCACAAGCAATGAGGTGGGCCGGGGTTAGGGGCCTGACCTCGCTTCCACCCAAGAGTGGAGAAGGGTCTCGGGGGGAGGCCCACACTCCTGGGAGCGAGGCCTGCGTGCAGCCAGCAGCCAGTCCTGCTCCGCGGGCCGCCAGCCCTGCGCCTCACACTCCTGCACTCAGCTCTTTGGAGTCTTAGCCCGGAGGTCCCGGGGACTGGCCCCCGAGCTGTCCTATCACCTCGGCCACCCTGCTGTCTGCAGCGACTGCACCCACCCCTCACACCTGTTCACATCGACTTCCTCGGGGGTGGGCCCAGGCGCCTGCCATGGCACCAGCTGACGGGCTGATGAGGTTTCGTCAGCGTTGCTTGTTGAAGCAGCAGCATGTCTTCCTGGGACCACTCCGCCCCTGAGCCCAGATCGGCCTGCCTCGGGGTCCACAGTCTTGGATTTCACGGACCTCCAGGCAGTGGGCCGCCTTGAGCAGCTTCCCGTGGGCATAGCGGCTGCACTGCCCCAATACACGCTGTGTCCTGTGTGACGGTCCTGGGCGTTCACTCCCGAGGGACAGCCGCCTGGAGCAGCCATGCCCAGGCTCCTCTGCCCACCCGGCGCCGGGGGATGGGCTTCCACCCACAGGCTCTCCCAGCCAGGCTGCACCGAGTGCTCGGTGTGGCGGCCCTGACTCGCCACCCTCTCCTCTCCGGCACGTCCCCTGGGCCTGCAACAGTGGCCTTCCTGCCTGGTCAGAGGGTGGAGCCCTCACTGACGTCACTCTCCGAGAGAGGCCGGCCCCCCAGTTGCTGTTGCTGTGGTTTCCCCGAGGTCCAAGGCCAAGGCCGAGAAAGCCAGCACGGCAGGGAGGGGGGCCCGGGAGCGGGTTCTGCTGCCGGAGCGCTTACGGCTGCACTCCAAGGGCGGCGGCTGGAAGCTCCAATGCGCCCCGCGCTGTGCAGCCAGGAGTGCCTGGGCCCAGCCTCCACGGTGGTCTGTGCAAGGTGGGCAGCGTGTGCAGAGGCCGAAAGGCGTTTTTGCTGCTTAGAAGAGGGTACTTGAAGGCCCCTTGGAAACTCGGGGAGGCCGCTCTGTCTGTGGTGGCTGAGCCCCATGCAGAGCCCGGGCCTGCGGCACTGGGGCCGGATGCCTCTCCCCGACCCCACCCTTCCCATCACTGAGCGTGGAGACTGGGGTGCGGTGGTTGGGCAGCCCAGTTCTGAGCGTGGCCAGCAGGCACTCTTGAAGAAGCAGGGGCCGGGGCCCCGCACTCCAGGCAGGCTTCGAGGAAACGTGTGGCTCCGATACGGTGATGCTCGTTCTCACGGACTGATGAGCAAGAACCCTTGAGGTTCAGAGGCCACAAGGAGACAGCTGAGTCCTGAGTCCCATTCACTGCCGATTCTGTGCCGGTCAGTGCACCCACCGGGATGTTCGCCCGTCGGCAGCCGGCAGGGGTGGTGGAAGGAGAGGAGGAGACGGGCTGCCCTGGCACCAGGCCTCCTCGGACGCCTCGTCTCCCGAGGAAGCTGAGAAGGCAGCGCAGGAAGCCCTGGCCGTGTGCCTCTGAGCAGGCTGCTCCGAGTGCCCCGCCTGCCCCACCCGCCAGCAGAGCTACTGCGGGGGCTCCCCGCCATCACCCAGCTCCTCTCCCTGCTCCAGCGGCCCAGAGCTGCTCCACCCACCCACCTGTGAGAGCTGCAGACCCCCGACCTGGCCAGGCCTAGTGGGACAAAAGGATGGGCGCCCCACTTCTCGCCCCGCCGCCCTGGAGGAGAGTGCTGGGGTGACCCTCGCAGACTGTGCCCAGGAGGCTGACTGGCTCGGGCCATGAGCTTACACATTCAGCCCAAGGACCCGGCCCGCACACAACAGAAAAGGTGGAGCACGGCCCGCAGGGGGCGCACTGATGGCGGCAGGCAGCCCGCACCCCCAGCCCAGAGCAGCACCTCTCCAGGCACCAGAGAGGGTGCTTGCCACCACGCCCAGGGGCCTTCAGGAGAGGAACTGGTTGGTCACCTTGGACCGGTCAGCCCTGGACAGGGCACCCGAACTCCACGTGTGGTCTGGACCCAGACTGACTGAATCACGGGAGGCCGTGACCGGCACTGCCTGGCGGCTGAGTGTGCGAGGCCTGGTAGATGGGCACCGCGTCCGCCAGTGGGGTCCCCACGCGGCTGGGCCTGGGCTCCGTGGGGGGAGGGCGGGCTGCACATTCACCAGGTCAGGTCTTGCCGTCACCAGGCAACCTCTGCCTCCGTCCCCGTGTCCTTCTGGCTGGTGTACGGAGGCGAAGGGCACATGGGTTCCTAAACATTCCTGAGACTTTCTCGCAGCTTTGAAACTTAGAGGAAAATGCTGGAAGCCGTGACGGGAGGGGCCTGTCCGCTGAGCATGGGGCCCTGCGGCCCCTCTCCCAGCTCCTCGGTGACTGTGCGCTGTTTCCTCACCAGCCGCCATCCTCGGCACCCCGGGGACCCTGGCCACCGCCACTTCTCAAGACACCTCCCCGCCATCCCGCCGGGCGGGGCCGGGCTCTGCCCGCAGACACACTGCCCGCCTCTGAGCCAGGGCTCCCAGGCAGCCTCAGGACGGGTTCTGGGTCCTTTGGGCGGAGGCCCAGCTCCCAGTTACCCACCGCGGGGTTGCCTGCACATCGCCCCCTTCAAGTGGCTGCAGCCGCCGGCTTGCCCCACACCTGCTTGCCCCACACCTGCTTGCCCCACACCTGCTCCCAGCTGGCGTGAGCTCCCCACAGCCGTCTCCCTGGGGTGGGGGGAGGGCATCTCCGCACAGGCATCCGGCCTGCCTGCCTGCCTCCTTGTGAGCAGCTGACTGAGCCCACAGGCGCCCACTGCCCGCCAGTCCTGTCCCGGGCGGCGTCCTCCAGCCCCCCTGGCCCTGCCTTCTTCTCCCGGACTCTGGTCTGTTCTCCATGGTTCCCTGGGTCTCTGGAGCCTCCCTGCTCTGGACGGGCTCCGGGAGCCTTGCATCGCTGCCGTGCCTGAGGCTTCGGCCTCCCGTGGCCGCCGGCAGCCCTGGCCTCCTCCCTCCTCCCACGGCCGCCCTCTGAGACATGTGGAGCCTCTGAGCCGGGACACTACTCCCCGTCCTCTGGGCAGCAGCCGCCTTCGGTTCTGTGGCACAGGAGCCAGCATTGCTGCGGCCGCCACTCCCTGTTCCTGGACCCGGCCCCACCTCGGTCCTTCCGCCGTGTCCTGCTGAACCCCAAAGTCACTTCCAAGTGCCCCTGTCCTTAGACCCTTAAGACCTGTCCAAGGGACGCGTGGGGGTGGGGTACCCACTTGGAGAAAACACAGCCTCTCCTGCCTGGGTGTCTGGAGGGTTCAGTTCACGGGGTGCGAGCCTTCTGCACCCCTGTCCCTGGTCGGTGTGCTGAGCACTGACTCTCAGCCCTGGGGGTGGGGGTGGGGGTTGGGCTGGGCCTGGTCTGCACGCAAGGAAGCTGGGGGCGGAGCAGGTGCTGGTGTCCAGTCCAGCCCCATTCAGGTCAGGTCCTCGGGCCGCTAGGGAGGACTTGAAACAGGGACATCCGGGACCACACACACCTGTGCCCTCGGTCCACCTGTGCCTACCACACCACACCTGTGTGGTGACCTCAGTTGCCCTCGGTCACACGGACTCCCCCCCCACCCCTCTTGCAGATTATCCCCAAGGCCAGCGAGCCGGCCCGGCAGCCCGAGAGCCACCCGGAGGAGACAGAGGAGGAGCTCCGGGAGCACCAGGCCCTCCTGGAGGCGTCCCGCCCAGACCGGCTCTCCGGGCAGAGGGAGGCGCAGGAGCCGGCTGGGGTGCAGGTGAAGCAGGAGCCCGTGGAGAGTGAGGACGAGGAGGCGGAGCCTGCGCGGGCAGCGGAGTCCGGCCAGCACCCGCCCACGGAGCAGGAGCTGCTCTTCAGACAGGTCAGGGCGGGCAGTGGGCGGGCCCTTCTGCCCCGGTGGGCGGTGCCCTGCGGCCTGGAGGCCTCTTCCTTCCACTCCCTTCTTTCCCTGGTGCTGTTGGGGTGGCTTTGGCTCCACGTCCGTTTTGCCTTTGCTGCATCTGGATGGACTGGCTGTTCGTCCCCTGGGGGCACATACGCACCTGCTTTCCAGCTGTCGCCACCCAGACTCCCCGGGCTGGTTTTCTCTCAGGTCTGGGGCGAGGGTTGGTGATGGAACCCCATGTGTGTGTGGGATTCAGCATGATCACTAAAGGTGGGGCTGGAAGATTAACTTCTTGGTTGATCCGAAAGGTAGGCAGGACTTCTGGGGGCCAGGTGGCAGCAGCGACCCTCCCGAGAAGGGTGCTGCCCAGACACCAGAGCCGGGGAGGGCTCTGAGCACTGATATGCTGACGGGACCCCCGAGGGGTCGACGAGCACCTCTCCCCAGCGGTGTGTTAATTTAGACCGGAAGAAGAAACCTGCCACGTTTGCCGCTTGGTCAGTGAGCTGGTGAGTCGGGAACCTGGTGTCAGAGGCCAGGTGCCACCGTGGAGGTTGCTGACCCCTGGTGAGGAGGACCCGAGGGCCGAGGGCCCCGAGCGGGGTCCTGCCTGTCCCTTCCTCCTCACTAGATATGAGAGCCACCTGGCCACGTGCCGCACAGCTCTGGACAGCCCGGGCTGCGGCCACTCCCCACCTCCACCGGTGTGCCTGGAGAGAGGCTCCCGTGACACACGGGCCGGCCCCCGGCCTCCTCTGCTTCAGGTGCTGCACGACAGCCCTCGGGGCTCCGAGCCCTCCTCGGTGCGGGCCTCTCGCTGTGACTGGGTCCAGTGTGGTGCTCGCACGTGGGGGTGGCACTGGGATGTGCCCCTGGAGTCACGAGGCCTCCCAGGTGGTAAAGCCGTCGGGTTTCACGTGAGAGAAGCAGCCTCGCCGTGCTCCCAGTCTGAGACGGTAGTTAGAAACACGCGTTTTGTGTGTTCCGTGGAGACTGACAAGCAGAAGTCCTCGTCAGGGGAACTCGGGCGTTCGAGGAGCAGTTTGCAGATGTAAACTTGAGACAGTGTATTGGGAAGAGGGCTGGTCGGGGGTAGGGGGCTGTGGAGCCGGGGGTGAGTCCCCTGGGGTGAGGGGGGGAGCCTCCCAGCCCCTCAGCCTGCCGTGCACCTGCTCCCCCCCCCGGGCCAGCAGACCTTCCAGAGTGGAGCCGTGGTCACCGTGTTCAGGCGCAGCCGGCAGTGGGTGTGGTGGGGACGAGGAGCTCTGCTTTCCCCAGCCCCTCGCCATCCCGGTGGCGGGGCCAGGCCTGGCCTGGCCCCAGGCTCACAGCTGCCCGTCCTCCCTCTGGCTCTGCTCCGCCGTCCATAGGACACGCACCTCGGCCCGTCCAGTGTCCCATTGGGGTCTGTCTCCCTTGGCCCTGGCTGAGTGACCCCATGCCCCACAGACCCAGCGCTTTGGCCCCGCTGGGGCCCCAGCCCGAGCACCTCTGCAGCCCCTGCTGAGCGGTCCTCCTCACGTCTCCTGCCGGCTAGCCTGGTGGCGGGTGGGCGGGGTGACACGCTGGCCCTGCGGCCTTGGAGGAGGGCCGAGACCTGCTGTCCTCTAGGTTTTAGCTTCCCGTAATACTCGTGCTCTTATAGGAGCTGGCTCTTCAGGTAGAAACGTGACTTTTGCAAAGTTTTTCTTGGAAGCCTGTGTTTTATTCAGCCCTTTCTGCGCTGGTGACTGTTGCTGGAGGATGCCTCACAGGGGTTCTGGGGTCACCTATGTGGGTCCCCACATCCTCAGAGGCGCATCCACACCCTCCCGGCCCCCCGACCCAGCTGGCCGGGCCCTGGGCCTCGGGAGCCGGTGGCACGTCTGTGCACCAGCAGCCCTTCCGGTCCTGGGAGGGGGACGAGGGGCAGCACGGGCCCAGGGCGGGGCGGTGGCAGACGGAGGGTGTTCCAGTTTTCCCCTGCGGTGGCGTTTCCACCCAGCTCAAGGCCAGGACGACAGCGAATGACTAGGAGGGCTGCCTGCGGGCCTGGGCTGCTGGGCACCAGGCAGCCGTCCCCCGTCCTCCCTGCGCGCCACCGTGCGTGGCGTGCGCTGCATGGGTGGGGAGGAGGGGTGAGCTAAGGCATGAGTGACGTAAGGGACACGTCAGCCTTTGGAGGAAGCGAGGCTTCTCTGTCTGACGCAGCGACACGCCGTCTTCCCCGCAGCAAGCCCTCCTGCTGGAGCAGCAGCGCATCCACCAGCTGAGGAACTACCAGGCCTCCATGGAGGCCGCCGGCATCCCCGTGTCCTTCGGCAGCCACCGGCCTCTGTCCCGGGCACAGTCCTCCCCAGCATCGGCCACGTTCCCCATGTCCGTGCAGGAGCCCCCCAGCAAACCGAGGTTCACCACAGGTAGCGTGAGTAGGGGCCGGGCCCGGGGGGCGGATTGTCGGCATTGGGCTGCCCAGCAGGGTGGCCTGGTTTTGACCTGGGTCTGAGGTGTGCAGTTCAGGGCTTGCACTGCCCAGAGGGCAGGTGTCAGGCCAGACGCAGTTTCCAAGACAGACCACTTCCGGGCCGGCTGGTGTCCCACATGGCCCAGCCTCCTTCCTGCTCTGGGTGGGGAAAGAGATGGACAGATCGCTAAAGCTCCCACCCCCCTGCCCCCCCCCCATGATCCTGGGGGTTCTCCTGGGTGCAGAGGCCCACCTGCCCTTCCCAGACTCCCTGTCCCCCAAGAACGGCCATTGCCAGGCCAGCCTGTGTGCGCCGGCAGGTGGCTGCTCGGTCCTGGTCGGCAGGGCTCGGTAACGTGCCGTTTCGCCTCCAGCCCCTCCTTGGACTGAGCCCACACCCAGGGCCTTGACCATGAGGCCCGGCCGGCTCACAGGTGTAACCCCAGCAGTCACATGCAGGAGGCCTGGTGCCATGGCGCTGCCGCTGTCCATGCTGCCCCCACACCCCACCCCCACCGGGGCACATCTTTGGCAGGGGTCTTGGTTTTGCCCAGAAGGCTGCCCACCCTGAGTCAGGAACCAGGCCTGGATGGTTGGGCCCCGCATCTGCCAGAGTCTGAGGTGCCGGGAGCTGGGGTGCGAGGCTGCCTGACCCGGGTCCCTCTGCCCAGCCACACGGGCCTGGGGCAGGGTCAGCGGGAGGGTGGTCAGCATCATTCCCACCTGGTGTCCTCTTCAGTGTGTGAGGAAGAAAATCCTGGAGCTGCAGGGTGTTATAAGTCTCCTTCAAACAGTCCTCGTGAGACACCTTGTTTTTTTGCGGTAGTGTTCGGACGACGTGGCTAAGTTCTCTTTATTGGCACTTGAGAGGGTAGCATTCACACTCAGAAAAAAACCGAAGTAGAGATTATCCAGGAATAATTGAGTAGTTGCTTCTCAGACAAGCAGAGACGGCCTGGCCTCCCCAGCGGGCAGTGCTGAGGGCCTGGCCCCCTTACAGGACGAGTGGGGAGCCCAGCCGGGCCCGGCCTGGCCCCAGCTGGGCCAGCAGCCCGCCAGGCCCTCAGGCACCAGCACGCTGCACAGAGGGGTGGGCCCTGGCGGGTAGGCGGGGGTGTTCAAACCACAGTCTCGTTTCTGGAGGTCGCTATGGTCCCCTGCCATACAGCTCACAGTCCCGAGGTCACGTCCCAGCGGTGGGCCTCACTGTTGAGTCTTCCTCCTTCGCCTGCTTCTGCCACGCAGGCCACTCTGGGGGCCCCTCCCGGGTGGTATTGGCTTGACCACTGGCCAGGTGTGTGCTGCAGCCGTGGGCCACTTCACCCCTCAGCCTCGCCCCAGCTGTCGCTTCTTTGAGCTGCAGTGGAGGGATTCGGCGCACTTTGGCTTTCTAAGGAGCCATCCCTGCAGTGTGGGGTGTGATGGGAGCCTCAGCAGGAGACAGCAGCTTTCAGGGCTGCTGGTGCGCAGCCCGCGGAGGCGGACCCCGGCTCTGACGATGCCCTCCGCCCCACCGCAGGCCTGGTGTACGACACGCTGATGCTGAAGCACCAGTGCATCTGCGGGAACAGCAACAGCCACCCCGAGCACGCCGGCAGGATCCAGAGCATCTGGTCCCGGCTGCAGGAGACGGGCCTCCGAGGCAAATGCGAGGTAGGGCCTGGCCCAGGGCAGCAGGGTGGGGGGCCCACGGGACCTGCGGGAGTCTGGCGTTGAGCCTGGGCCCATGTCAGGAGGGGCCCGGAAGCAGGTCGGTGATGAGGATGTGCAGTCCTGCCTTCCGGGAGACGCCCGGGGCCCCTTCCTTGAAGCCTGAGGCCTCCTGGTGGCGTGGCCTGCCTCCATCCTGTACTTGCTCGTCCCCCTGCACCCCTTGGTTTTCCTGTGCCCCAGCTTGCACGCTGTGCAGCTGTTACTTAGCACATGCTTGCTGAACCCCTGGCCGCCCCTCCCCTCCTGGCCACGCCCCAGGAGGTGCCGTTCTGAGGCGGTGCTCGCCCAGCACACACGCAGGCGTCACTCTGGCTCCCGCCCGGCGGCGGAGGTTCCAGCCCCCAGGGAAAGGAGCCCTGTTGTTCTTCCCTCCATCTTCTCTCACTTCCTCCCCTGAGGTCCCCCCCAGGGTGTGGTGAGGGTCAGGTTTGAGACACCCCTTGGAAGCCGAGCTCCCGTGGGGCAGCAAGAAGTGGGGAGCAGAGCCGAGGTCCGGTCTGGTCTGAATCTGGTTCACGAGCACAGTGCCCTGCCCCTTCCAAGTGCAGCGGCAGGGTCAGCTGGTCCTCAGTCGCTCCACTCGTGGCGCAGTGGCCCCCGGCCTGTGAGGACAGGAAGGTCCTGGTGAGCCCCAGGAAGGACGTTCTTCTTTCCTCCCGGTGGGGGACAGTGTTGCCATTAAGTGATGGGCTTGTCCTCTGGGCCCTGGTTGTGGCCATCGGGAGGGGGGTCCCCTTGGTATCCTTGTACGTGGGCTGGGGCTGGCCCCACCCGCCTCCCAGGGCATTTAGAATGACGGTTCCCAGCCCCCGGGGGCCGGCTCAGTGGTACCTGCCGTGTCCCCACACATGCTGGGAAACCCACAACACCAGGGGTGCTCTGCAGAGTGGTCCCGGGAAGCTAGAGACCCACAGGTGATGACCAACGTCCGCATCCCTGTGCCACAGCCGGCGCGGGCGCGTCCCAGAGAGCCGGCACACCCCCTCCTCTGGAAGCTGAGGAACTAGGAACCTCGGTCCCCCATCTTTACCAGCTTTTTGATGACACATAATTTTGGAGGAGAAAGGGGAGCAGAGAACCCTGTCCTGGAGTGCCCCTGGGGGGACAGTGACCCCCTGACTGGTTTGGAGGGGAGCCCAGGCCCTGCTCCCCGCCCACCAGTGCTCACCACTGGAGGGCAGTGTGGCCCTGGCAGACATGCCTGTGACCCTCTGTGCCTCCTCCTGCCACTGCCCTGGCCCTGCTCCTCCACAGGGGCACGTGAAGTTCCATGACCAGCTTCCTGACTCTCCCCCTTGCCCCCCGGAAGGGTCCCTGGGGCCAGAGGCCTCCGCAGTAGTTTCTTAGCCAGAATAAGTCACCCCAGCAGAGTGGGGTGAGACATGAGAACACGGAGAGTCAGGTCCCCGACCCTCCTCCACTTTCTTTGGCACTGGGGGGGGCACCAACCCGTCCGGGCTGATGGCTGCAGGGGCTAAGAGGTCCCTGTGAGTGTGGAGTCAGAGCCAAGTCAGCAGGGTGGGTGGGAGGGGGCTGGGCTGGAATGTGTGGTACTCACGCAGCCCAAGGGGCCACAGTGACCTTGTCCCTACCTCTCGCCCTGGCTCCTAGTGTGGTCTCCCGGACAGCAGAGCATGGGGTCCCGCACAGCACACAGCTGTAGGAACTGGCTCCCGACAGGTGTGAGAGGGGCCGCTCCAGCTCCCAGGTGCCCCTCACTGCAGGTGGACGGCCGTGGGGGCATCCGTGGGGTGGGCTCCTGTCCTGGAGCTGCCACATCAGGTTCGGCACAGAACAGTGCCACACAGAGTGGGTGCGTCTGTCCTGGGAGCTCATTCCCGAGAGGGTCAGGCCAGTTTCCAACCCGCTGGACTGCCCATGACTCAGGTGTCCCGACTCACTTGATAGCCCACGGCTCCTTTGAAACCCCCCCACTGCACGTGGCAGACATCGGGCGCCAGCCAGGATGGCCGGCGGTCAGGCTGCCCTTTCTGTCCGGGAGCAGCTGCCCTTTACTTGACCCGTCCTCGGTCTCCCCAAGACCACGATCTTTTTCTTTTAAAAACCCCACTCCTGCCCCCCCACCCCCAGGGCTGCAGTCGGCCCAGACTCAGCCCACCTGTAAGTGTGGCATCAAATAAAGGCACTTGGATCAGATCATCCGGCTCCTGCCATCTCTGTCTTGCGCACTTCTGACAGTTCCCTGCGGACCTACGGAGGTGGGGCAGCAAACCCGGGGCCACGGGCAGCTTGCAACCTGTTCCCTCTGCTCTCACCTCCTGCTACAGCAGGGTCTCTGGGGGGGCGCTCCAGCCCCTGCCCCTCGGAGGGTGCAGGGGTGAGAGCCGCTGCTGGCCTCTCGAGTTGCCCGGGCCGTGCTGCTCCCCTTGGAGGGCCGCTGGGGTGCGCACTGGCGGCCTTCTGCTGGGAGGTGTGGGGTGGAGCCAACTAAAGAATAGTAAGGTTTATGCTGATTTCTGGGGGAGGTCAGGAAACAGCCCAGGAACCTCGATTTGAGAAATTTTTAAACCAAAGAAAGATCCCGGCGGACGAGCTCTGAGGCTGACCTCGGGCTTCACTGGTCTCATGGGAATGGTGTTTCCCGATACGGCTGCGTTCAGGGCCCTGGTCCCAGCTCCCCTCAGTGGGACACGGGAGGCAGCCCCCGCCCGACAGCAGGCCCTGACCAGTGCCGGGTCGTCATGTGACTGGAGGTCGGAGCACTGAAGGCTGGAGTTACCTGCCCAGACGTGTTTCAAAGTCACCATCCAAGTGTGAACTCTAACACAGGCAGCCAGCCTGCCTTTGGGCGTCTGTGCACCACTCAGCAAGAAGAGCCATGTTGGGCCACACGTGAAATACACTGTGACGCATCATCATAAAAAAGCTCGTGTTTCGAGTAAATCCACGATTCTGTGTTGGGCTGCAGGGTGGACATCCCTGCGTATTTTGACATGTTATTAAAACAGGGTGTTGGCTGGTGTTTGCTTCTTGTTTTGCAATCAGCATGTAACGTTCCGCTCGCGTGCGTGCGCAGCCCAGTTTCCAGGGTGGGGGGGTGTTTCCCTTGAACCGGAGCCCGTGCCCTCCGGAGATGCGAGCAACCTCTCGCATTGTGTCTCCACAGAGCATCCGAGGACGGAAGGCCACCCTGGAGGAGCTGCAGACCGTGCACTCGGAGGCGCACGCCCTGCTCTATGGCACCAACCCCCTCAACAGGCAGAAACTGGACAGTAAGAAGCGTCTAGGTACTCGGAGGCCTTCTGACCTTTCCCGCCTGGGGCGGGTTCCAGCCCCGTGCTCCCGCAAGGCAGCTCCACTTGGGGTCCCAGGCGGCTCCACCACCTGTGCATGGCCCCTCAGGCTGTGGTCGCAACTATGAGCATCACCTGCCGGGCTCTGCCTGGGTGGCCAGGCGGGGGCCCCTCTCTGCGGGCCGCACAGGTTCTGAAGAGACAATGGGGCAGCCGTTCTCGCCCCCGGCATCTGGGGGCACTGGTGTCCTGTGTGTGTCTGTGTGCTGGGCAGGAGACGGTCTGGGAAGCACTGGTCCCGCAGAACTGGACACAGCAGAGGGTAAACACTCCGGCTCCCCACCCACCACGTGCGCTGCCTGCAGTCTGAGCTGCCCCTGAGGGCGGGGGGGAGGCCAGGGGTAGCCTGGAGCATTGCCGTTGCAGGCTGGGCACCCTGAGCCTCCCCCAGGGCTGAGGACTCGGGCCCTGGCTCACAGCCTCAAGTGTCAGGGGTCAAGAAACCAGGACTGAGGAAGGCACTTTCTGACTGACGGGCATGCTCCGCCCGGGAGGTGGTGAGGGTTCCCCTGGGTGCAGACCGCACCCCGTCAGGACGCTCTGGAAGTTACGCTCTGGCCTCCCGTCTACCTGGAACTGGGACATTCGCCAATTGTGGGTTCCCATCTCCCAGAGGGGCCCCCACGGGCTTCTTCCTGGGAGTTAGACACTGGGTCACGGGCAGGGAGGGAGTGGCAGCTGGGTAGTTTCCACGCGTTTCCGTGGCAGACGTGGGGACAGTGGGCTCTTCCTGCGCCAGGCCCTGCACTGTCAGCTGTGTGCCACGTGGGGATCCACTGCAGGTGGCTCACGCCCCAGCTCAGGGAGCCCGACTCTGGGCCTCCAGCCGGGCTGAAGGGGCCGTGCCCTCAGCAGAGGTGGAGCAGGAGGGGTGGTGGGGAAACATGCTGCCGCCCCCCAAAGCCCTAGAGTAACAGGGCTTTCAAGAGACTTCTCAGTCCTCACCCTTGGGGACACGACAAAGGAGCCAGCAGCCAGACAGTGTCAGGCTGGAGAGCAGGTGGACAGTGTTCTGGGCAGCAGTTGTCAGGAGGTCGGCTTGTGAGACAGCTCTGGGGATGGAGACCACAACTCACCCAGCCCAGGATGGCGGCTGCAGAGACCCTGGACCTGGGGCAGGGGTGGGGTTGCTGTGACAAGGACTGGGGGAGGGGTCAGAGAGGTGGTGTCCCTGTACCTCCTACAGCCCTGGACGGAGGGGCACAGGTTCCCCGGGTTGGAACGGTGTCAGGCACAGCAGGGCAAGGGCCTCAGGCATCCTGCTAGGCTCTCAGCACGCTGACGTTCCCCCCAGCAGCCACAGGAGGTCCCTCTTCAGGGGTTGAGGAGCCCAGAGGACGCTGACATCAGGCCCCCTGACAAACAGCCCCCCAGGTTCCCCTGTAGTGGAGCTCAGGTTGTAAGCTAGCCTGGACCTTCAAGGGGCTTGTAGGGCCCCACTGTTAGTCGCAGGCAGAAGACCGAGGATTATCCTCCCTGGACGATACCTGGCAGGGAGCCAGGGCCTGGAACCGAGCATCCTTGGGGGCAGGTCCGGGGTGGGGGTGGGGCCTGTCACTGCTGCCCTGGAAGAGGAGCGGCTGTGCCCAGGCCACCACAGGAACAGGCGCCCTCGGAAAGACAGGTGCTCAGGCTGCGCAAGGAGAAACATGACAGCCATCGTCAGAGACAGAGACCCTGGGTCTGGAGGACCAAGGGAGTTGGTCCCAGAGGGCAGAGCAGAGAGACCGCAGGCGGACGGGTGGGGGTGGGGCTTCAGGACCAGGGCCTGGACGGCAGGCGCCCCGGAGAGAGTCCAGGGGAGCGGGTCCCAGAGCAGAGGTCGGACCTCTGGGCTGTGAGGCCCGCCGCCCAGCCCGCTGGCACAGGCATCCCGCCCGGGATCGGCACAGGGCCTCGCCGGCTCTGAGCAAGGGCTTTCCAGCCTGGCGCGTCTGCGCAGTCGCCTGTCCGCCCAGCACCGCGGTGAGAGGAGGGCGGTGCAGCGACTGTCTCTAGTCTTCTTGCGTCTTCTCGCGAGAAGACGCGAGAGCCAGCGTCTGCAGCGCCGCGGGGGCTCGCGCGGAGTTCTATCTCCAGCTCCCTGGCCCTGTGGTGCTGGGGGCTACGAGGCCAGGGTCGAGCCAACCCCTGGCTCACCGACGGCCGCCCTTTCCCTGGGCCTTTGTGGGGGTGCAGCGAGGGGCTTCGTGGGGTCCTCAAGACCTGTCACCGCGCTGAGGGCCTCCTGACACTCTCCCTTTGGGGGTTAGGACTCCAGCGTGTGAACTTGGGGGACGTTGGAAGTGTGCGAGAAATGGAGGCGGGAGGAACCTGGTGATCAGACCCAGGTGCCTTCATTGGATGCCGCGCTCGCGGCGGGCTGAGTCTGCCGACTGCAGCGTTGAAGGAAGGCGGGAGTGGGGTGTGTGAGGGGAGGGGTTGGTCTCGTTCTTCCCGGCAGGCTGTTCCCAGGCACAGGAGGGTCATCAGACCACTGCCATCGTGGCTGGCGCCAGGTGTCCCTTGTGCGCGGTCCGGGGAGGGTTTCTATTAGGCCTCGGGCTACAGAGTGAATCGGGACAGAGTCGTAGGCAGTGCAGCGGGTTGGGAACTGGCCTGACCCTTTCAGGGGACACGCAAATCTTCTGGCCATAGCAGTCCAGAGGCCAGTCTGCACAGGACAGCCCAGCAGGTTCTGGAGGTGCCGTGAGGTGAGAACCCACCTGGCGAGCGTCTCCACCAGGAAGTCGGTGCTTCTGGACCTTCGTGTGGCCATAACCAGGGTGCTCGGGGACTAGCCAAGTCCCTGTGACTTCCTCTCATCCTGGCCACGGGGCTCTTCTCCCCACCCCAGACCTGTGCTGGGTGGGGGCTGGCTGGGGTTCATGGCACCCCCCCAGGTCTTCTACCCAGAAGTGCAGGTGGGTCCTGGTGGGCTGAGGATGTCACAGCTGCTCGTGCTGCCAGCCCCCCCTGGGCCCCATCCACAGCTCTGTTCCCCAAGACACAGTGGGGAGAGCTGACGGCAGCATGCGGCCAGATGTCCTGGTCTGCGGTTCGCCCCTCACGGGGTTCTGTCCCTGTGCTGTCCTTGCTCCTCAGCTCATGGTTCAAAGCCTGGCCACTGTGGTTCCTGGTACAGCCCAGGAGGCAGGGCTGTGAGGACAGTGCGGGGACTGCTCCTGTGGGGAAGGGGGAGGGGTGCTCTGTGTGTCCTGCCGTGGGATCGATCCCCCTGCTTGCCCCCAAAAGGCAACTCTGTCTCTGAGCTGGGGGGCATTTGGTGCTCCCATCCTACCCCCAGAGGGGCTTAGACGGGAGGCAGAAGTCTGTGCTAAGGTGGGGGACCAGGGCTCCGGTGGACACGTGGCATGCAGAGGACCTGGAGGCCAGAGCAGGGAGCAGAGGGTACAGGGTGTGTCCAGAGATGAGGCAGTGCCTTCTGGGGACCCAGAGGAAGGGCTTCTGGCCTGGAGCCAGGCAGGGCCTTGGAAGAAGGAGCCTTCAGGGACCAGGGAAGCGGCCTTAGCAGGAGGAGCTAAGCGAGGAGGCCACGTGTGGAAGACAGCCACACAGCGTGACGGGCAGCACCCCACCCGGCAGTCTCCGGGACCCTCCAGGAAGCGCCGCAGCCTCCGCATGGGGCCTGCTGCCCGGAGTGTTCTCGCACAGGGTGCCAGGGGCGGCTCTGCAGGCCCAGAGCAGCGTCACGTGGGTGTCACATGCACATCTGCGACACAAATCATGGCTTTTCCTTCTCTGCTGGAGTTGGTTCTTTTAAAGTCTGTTCATTTGGCTCTGAAGGCACCAGCTCAGTGTTTCCTTCTCTCCACTTGGGATGAGAATGGTTTTAAATTTCACAGGGTTGGCTGAACCAGGACACGCCGTTGCCCTCAGCCTGAGTGTCCTAGATCAGCCGAGGTGATTCTCTCGCGTAGTGTGCCTCGTTAGGTGTTTAAACACTGCTGTGTGCTTCCTGCAGATTTCTCAGCCCCACAGAAGACCCGTGTAGCTGATGAGTGGGGACTCATGGCCTGGCTGGTCGGGGTGCACTGTAGACACTGGGGGGGTGCTGGTCAGTCACCCTTCTGGTGTTCCTGGAAGTCAGAGGGGGTCGTCTTATGATGGTGACGACCTGGAAGGGACGTGGAGGCTTGCGTCTGTGGCCTGGGCCCAGCAGGGCCTCCTAGACAGCCAGCTTCGTGCACCCTCCAAGCCAACAGGACTCGTTTGTGAGCGGGGCAGCTGTCTCTGCTCTCGCCCCAGAGAGGTCTCTCGTGACCGAAAGGCCCTTGTCTTCCGGCTCCTTTCCCTTTTCCACAGCCTGGGGGCTGCCGGGGCCCCCAGACTCGCACCAGGCTTAGGGCCAGCGGTGAGGCCCACGGTGGTTCTGGGTCCGGTTAGGCAGCAGCCAGGACGCTCGGACGCAGCTGTCAGGAGCGTGGGTTGTGTCGTGCGAGGTGCACCTGCTGGGGCTGAAGCAGAGCTGCTGTGGGGGTCTCCCTTGCCTTGTGAAGGGGGCAGGGCAAGCCCAGGGCCCACTGCCCACCAGGCACTGTCCTTCCTGCAGGCCCGCGGGGGGTGCGGTTGTACCTCTGAAACCAGTCTGCCCTCCGAGGCGGATGGGCGGCACGCATTCCGTGGTGCCAGAGCATTTCCAGAGCCTGCGCTATGCTCAGGGTGCCCTGTGACCTTGGCCCTCTGACCCTGGCTCTTCTTCTCCTGGCAGGCTCGCTGACGTCCATGTTCGTCAGGCTGCCCTGTGGTGGTGTTGGGGTGAGTATTTCTTTAATGTATAAATAACGTCCTGTTTGTTCTTGGAGTCCCAGTGGTCACAAAAGCCGCCGCCTTGCTCTCCACAGAGTGGATAATGGCTGCCAGGTGTTTTCCATAAACGGGCTGGTGGTGGGTCCCCCTCACACACACACACACACACACACACACACACACACACTCGCACTCACACGTGTGGCTTCAAAGGCCTCGTGAGCCTGGAAGCGTTTGATGGCTGGACTCCGGCACCTTCCTTGGGGAGGGTCGTCTGGCATCCTGGTCGCCTTAGGAAATGGGGTCAGGTGTGCAGGCGGGTCTCGTCACAGCAGGCCGAGGTCTGCGCGTCCTGACTCGGGTGGTGAAGACATCACTTGGTGGCAAGTGTGGATCCTTCCCGATTTCCCTCCAGCTCCAAGCCCCCGTGAAGCTTGGAGTATGGAAACCTAGTGTTAGGGGCCATGGGGGGCGGGCACAGCTGGTGGCTGGGCAGTGTCACGGCTTTAGCAGTGGGGACAGTGCTCTCTGGCAGGTGTGGTCAAGTAGACACGCAGGGAGTGTCGGCCGCCCCCAGCAGGGGGCCGGTTCACCAGGCTGGGACAAGGGGCAGGGCTCGCGGAGCTGCAGTCGAAGGGGAGGCCGGGAAGGGACCGCGTGGACAACAAAGCCATGGGGCCAGACTCGCAGTGCGGGGTGTGTGTGTAATTAGAGATCGCGGGGTGAAGTCCAGGTCTGGATTCTGTTATGGAAATGGAGCAAAATCGTCTTCTTCCTGAGTCTTTACAAAAATCGCTGCTTTGAAAATTATCCCGTCAGAAGAGGGATCAGCGGCATTTATTCATCCACCACCAAGCCCTTCTGGAGTTGTTTCGTTCTGAATTGTAAGTAGGCTGCAATCTCTTAGTTCAGGGTAAATTTTTGGCCAGACTTGAAAAAGCTCCCGCTCACACAGCCCTGCAGCCAGTGCCGGGCACGGCAGGACTTACAGTTTGCAAACGAGAGCTGAGTGGGACTTTGGGCCAGAGCCCTGCCCAGCGTGAGTGCAGAGCCCGCCGCTGGCTGAGCAGCGCCCGCCCTGTGGCGCCCAGGCACCGTGCAGCGGGAGCACCCAGCACGCCTGTGGGGAACGACCCGTGTGGCCTGGGCCAGGGGCGCCTGTCGGGGCGATCAGCTGGAAGTGTGGGCCGCAGGGTGTCTCTCTCCCTTGCTCCCGTGGCTGCAGGGGCAGCCGCAGCCCAACAGGGCCTCAACGTCTCCTTTTAGCCCTGGGGACCAGCCTGGGGCTCCCAGGGGGCACAGGGGCCCGTGCGTGGTGGGGACGCCTGTGCAGGGACGAAGACGACGAAGCACTGAGAAGAGGCTGCTCTGCCCCTCCTGACACTCGGAGTGAGCGCTCAGCTGTGTGGCTCGTTCCTTCTGAACGGGGAGAGAAGCTGAGCTGCCTTTCCTGTTCTGAAACTTAAACGAAAGAGGCTGTTTCTCTCAGCCCCAAACTGCCTCAGGCTTCCCACTGAGGGAGGACTGGGGAGTCCTTGCCTGGCCAGCCCTGGGTGCCCTGGCTGCTAACAAGCTGCCCGTCCGTCCCCTCGGTCCATGCCTGTGTTCGCTGTGGGACAGCGTGCCGTGGGCCCTGCCCTGCATCAGTAGCCACTCGGCCACCTCGCCCTGAGCCGGGCCACCGCCCTGTGGGTCCTGTGTCCAAGCTGCGCCCCCTCCCGGAGCCTCGTGCTCTGAGACTCAGGCTGGGTGGGGCTCAGCCCTCCCAGGCTGGCCCATGGGGCTGGTGACCAGCTGCTGGAGCCCAGACCTGAAGCAGTGGGAGGTCTTGGGTTCCCCGGGACGCCCTCCGGGGGCAGGCTCTGTCCCTGGCTCTGGGCAGGGTGTTTTGGGACCCTGGGTACACAGGGGGAGGGCATAAAGACCTTCTGAGCACGTGGGGTGCTGGGCCATCCTCTCTCCCTGCACTGGTTCCTGGGCCCTAAAGCCCAAGTTTACGACCAAGGAAGAGGAACCGTCTGGGTGGTTTTTCCCAAATGGCTGTCAGTCCCCAGAGAGGCAGCCTCAGGCTGGCCCAGCCGTGGCCTTGGCGGTCACCCCATCGGCTCTGTCTGGGGCCTTCCCGCGTCGGACTGCAGGGCACCCGTGTATGAACGGCCCGTGGGGGACGGCAAAGCGACATTGCCTGGGATGGAGGCTGGTCTGTGGGAGTCGGACACCGAAGCTGTGGAGGATCGTCAAGCACCCAGCTTTCCTTTGACATTTGGAAACCATTTAGAGAACACAGAGGCTCAGTCATTGAAAAGAGTGACCCTCCTGGTGTAACACTGTCCCATGATGGCTCTGGCCCCGAGTTGGTGCGCTTCCGACCGCCTGGCTGTGAAGACGAAGCACCATGGTGCCGTGCAGTCCGTCCGCCCCACAGGTCGGCCAGTGTCTCTGTCGGGGGGGCAGCGGCTGGTGCACCTGGACACACCTGCCAGGTGGGGGCAGAGCACCAGCAGCACACGCTGCGTGCGGCTGCCGTGGCCTGTGTCTCGAGAGCCCCGAAGAGGAGGCGAATTTGGGAAGGAGGCCCGCGGGCAGGTTGAAGGCGGGCAGCTGACTCACCGCACGGCCTCTCCGAACCTCCGCTGGGCTGCTCCCTCCCCTGCGGGTGGGAGGCTCCTGCAGACCGGGGCTCGGCCCACCCACCTGTGCCCTCCCGCCAGGAGGGCTCTTCCCAGAGCTGGCCCACGAAGTCTGCCTGCTCTCTCCCACACTAGTAACCAGGGCTTTACCAACCCCGATGCGCCCCAGTACGTGAACCCCCACAGGAGAAGTTGCCGGGCCTGTGTGTGCCACCCGGCGTCGCCTGCCAGAGGGTGGTGCACAGTCCCCCTGGACGGCCCGGAGTGCTGCCCTCCCCCTCCCACGGAGCTGACCAAGGATTTGCTCCTAATTAAATTCAGCACAGAATAGGACCACAGTTGGAAAGACCTAGTTCTCATGTTTCTCTTTGTTACTTGTTAGTTTAACTCCACTGTATCTGGAGTGGGGGTGGGGCTGGCCAGGTGGCCCCGGTGTCACTGCACGCAGCTCCAGGTGTGCCGGCGCAGCCAGGAAGAGAAAGGACGCGGGGACAGGGTGGCACCCAGGCTCGCTCTCTTCAGCGCGCTCACTGCCCTGTTCTCGCCAAGCGTGTTTCGTTCGGCACGGCTTTAAGGACGAGGGAGGCACGTTCTCAAATTAGTGCAGAGGAGGCAGGCGCCCCTCGTGCAGGGTTGCAGAGGCCACGCCCCCAGCCCAGCGCTCACCGCCTTGCGTTGTCTCCACAGGTGGACAGTGACACCATCTGGAACGAGGTGCACTCGTCGGGGGCGGCCCGCCTGGCCGTGGGCTGCGTGGTGGAGCTGGTCTTCAAGGTGGCCACGGGGGAGCTGAAGGTCAGTGAGGAGGCCGCGGAGATGGGCTCCCACAAGGAAGCCTGCTTGGGCATTTCAGGGTGGGGCTGGAGAGGGGACAGCCACTGAGACGCCCTTGAGACAGTCACGTGACTCGGGGGGAACCGAGGGCCCCTGTGTGTCAGGCACTCTGCTGTATCAAAGGAACTGTTTCCCACACTGTGGAACCACCAGCCGTCCTCAGAGGTCCGGGTCCGTGGGGCAGTCTGCAGGCAGAGCAGGGGGGGCGGTCGCTGGGGTGGTTCCAAGGACTCTGGTGTGAGAGTCAGGTCCTCGGCAGGGGCCGTGCCAGGGGCGAGGACTCAGACACTGAAAGGTGTTAATGAATTGGAAAGTGATGCCCCATCTGGCTCCGTAGGTCAGCTGGGCTCTCCCAGCTGCTGGGGCATGCCCCTGGAAGTGTGCTGTCCCGGCGTCCGTGAGGAAGGCCCGCCCCCCAGGCAGGCGCAGCACTGGGGGAAGGGCGGGGCTCGAGTGGGCCCTGGAGGAGGGCGCGGCACCGAGACCATCAGTGAGCTTTGACTCTCCCAGGAGGACCCGCCAGCCCGTCTCACGTTGGCTGGATCCCCTATCCACGCATGACTTACGGATCACGGGCCACTGGGGAATGTGGGCTGGGGCGTGGCACAGGTCTCCCTGTCTCCACGTGACCGGCAGTTGCACACCCTGCACAGGAGCCGTCCCCGGAGCCCACATGGTGTCCCCCACGTCTCGTTCTCACCCGAGAGCTCCAGTGCTGGGCTCCCTCTGTTTGTGGGGACGCCCGACTCCCCACAGGTGGGCACCCCGTTTCCTGGCAGTGCTCCCAGGGGTGTGTCCGAGGGCTGTGGGCCCAGCCCCACTCTGTCACGCATCGCGAACACGTGGCGAAAGTCCTGCCACACATCGGTGCGCTTCTGGGCCACGGCCCGGCTCCTGGTGTGACGCCGCCCAGGGACCCCCTGGTGCGTGCCCACAGTGGGGAGGCGAGGGCCCACGGGCCGAGCGCCACTGCACAGTCCGGGCACAGGCGGGGGGGGTGTGCCTGGGAGTGTGCGGGGGGTGCCCTCACCCAGATGGGGCTGCTGCAGACCTGGCCCAGCGCTCCCCTCGGGGGCACAGAGCGCATGTCTGGACGCGTCCCTCCACAAGCGGGGTGGGCAGGTGCTGCTCCCCAGCCTCGGAGACGCTCCTGGCCCTACTGCCCGCTCCCTGTGCACTGAGCCGCAGTTCACCTTGAGGTCGGACTGGGGCGTGGCATCTGCCCCAGCCCAGGCCCCTCCCGTTTCCTCTGCACCCGAGGTCCTTCGGGTGCTCCCTGGGGAGATCGTCCTGATCCCGGGCCCCAAGGCCCCCCCGCCAGCCCTCCCAACGCCCTTCTGCCGGGCCAGCAGGCAGGGAAACGTTGAAAGTCAGGCACGTCTGTCCCTTAGCGATGCGGTCACCAGCAGACTTCAGAAAGCAGGGACCGTCATCTTAGCGGCACCCACAGACAGACAGCCCTTGGTGCAGTTCCCGGTCTGGCCTGGGGCGCAGCGTGAGGTCAGGTCCTCGCGTGCTCCCTGAACCTGCCAGCGTCCGTCTGTGACGATTTCCTCACTGACACGGACCTATCTCTTGTCCCCATCTGCCCTCCTGGTGTCGCATGTAGAACGGCTTTGCGGTGGTCCGCCCTCCGGGACACCACGCGGAGGAGAGCACGCCGATGTAAGTAGTGGGGACGCCGGTGCGGGCTCTGACACCCTCGGGCACTGGGAGGGGGCGTGCCGGGTGCCCCGCGGTGTAGCAGGGGCCCCTCGGGGTCAGAGGCCGACTTGCTGGTGGGTGAGAGTGCAGAGGGGAGCTGGAGACAGGCGGGGGGGGGGGAGGCCGCAGACCCAGCCTCATCCACCAGCCGTCAGGTCCAGTCGTTGGGTCTGTTAGGAGGGCCCGCGGGAGGGAGCTGAGCCTGCCGGACGTCGGCACCGCCCAGTCCCGATCCCGCCCTCGGCTGCTTTTTGAGGGCGGCCTCTTGGGGGCCTGCCCACGGTCCGGGGGTCGTGAGGCTGAGCCCCAGCGCCTTGGCCACACAGCCAGCTACCTGGACCCCGTGCTGGGTTCTGGCCCTGGTGGCCGCGTATACACACGTCAGAGGTGGGGGCCCTGGTCTGCCGTGTCGGTGGACAGCCGGTGACCGGCACGTGCTCCACTGGCCCCAGGCCGTCGGGGTGACTCCGGGCCCCAGGTGCTGTGCCGAGCGCCTCTGCTGCCTGGGGCAGTGCTGTGTCCCTGGCCCAGGAGGCCCCCCAGTGGACACGACAGGCTCCCCAGGCCGGGAGACAGGCCACCCCCTGCTGCCAGGGAGAGTTAAGAGGAGGTGACGTTGGTCTGTGCCAGGAGGATTCGGGGGGCTTGTCACCTGGCAGAGCAGGGAGTGTGCGCACATCTGTGCCCGGCAGAGCCAGGACGTGCAGAGGGGCCACAAGACGCCGGCGCAGCGCACACCAAACCTGGGGGCAGAGCCAAACTCGAGTCCCCGAAGGAGTTGCAGGAAGATGGGGTGACCATCACTGCCAGGGGTGTGCTTGGCGTGCAGTCACCCCCGGGCCCAGAACACTCGTCCCCGCCAGTGGGGAGCAGGGCCAAGTGCCCGGCTCCGAAGCGGCTCCTCTCCGGGGTCTCAGTTGTCACACGTCCTGCGCAGTCAAGGCCGAGGCCCGCTGTGCGCTGTGGGGGAGGGCTCTCAGGGACGCGCCTCCACCAGGGGCGGCCTGGGCTTCCAGAAGCAGGACAGCCAGGCCGCTCAGCTCCGTGGGAGTCGGGTGAAGGGGGGTCCAGACTGAGAAGAGTGTGGTTTGGACCTGATCACTTCCTCAGATTTTCTGCTCTCCTGAGTGAGACTGGAGTTGCAGGTCGTCACTGGGGTGACTGGTGTCATTGTCCCACGTCCTAGCATGTGGAGAGGTGGGCAGGACCAGGTGCGGTAGGTCATGTCTGTGCTCCGCGGCCCATGGTGTCTTTTGAGAGGCCCATGAGGAGGAGGAGTTGGTGCAGAGAGAAGTAAAGGGGTCTCCTTACCGGGGCCGGGCCGTCTGCAGGCAGGAGACCGTGTGTCTGTCTGTCGTAAGCATCACCTGAGGTTTACAGGCTGCTGTTCAGAAGCTGCGAGTTCTGGGCGGCTTGGCTGGAAGGTGTGTGGAAACCGATCCAAACCGGGGTTTTCCTCCAATTCTCACCTGCAGGGGCTTCTGCTACTTCAACTCCGTGGCCATCGCAGCCAAGCTTCTGCAGCAGAGGCTGAACGTGAGCAAGACGCTCATCGTGGACTGGGTGAGGGCTGCCCCGGGACGGGGCGCACAGGGCCCCACGTGGAGGGGGAGGCAGGCATCTCGGGCTCCTTGGGCTCTGAGGTTTGGGGGTCTTCACTTCTGGAAACGGCGTCAAGGACACGGGAAGTAAAAGCCCCGTGCAGAGCAGGTCTGTTTCACAGCAGCTCCTGCCTGGGGTCAGCTCCCGACATGTCTAGAGCTGCACCTGCAGCTGAGGGCGAGTGTTGGCAGAGCCTCACTGGGAGGCAGGGTCAGGAGGAGGCAGGGACCAGGTGCCCCTTCCCGCCCCTCCCATCTGAGCCAGTGGGTCTCACTCCCGCGCACTTGCCCCCCCCCCCAGCTTCTGTGCAGGTCACACAGTGTGTGCCACCCTTACCTCCTGCCCCGTGTGCCTGGAGGGGGCTGCCCCTCCCGGCCCTGCCACCAGCAGGGCCACCCTTGGGCTCCCCGTTCTCATGCTGCAGGTGGATGGCAAGGTCGGCTTTTACTTTACTCTCCTTTTTAGTCAAGAGAGATGGAGCGAGGGGTGTTTTTGGTATTTATGATAACTTCGAAATTTTTCAAGAAAAACATTAGGTATACCAGGTGAGAGTAGCATTTGTAACGCAAAATACTTTTTGGTATAGAGAAAAAACCAGAAATACAATGCAGAGCACCCAGCGAGCACCCAGGTGCAGGTGCTGGTCACGGAGGCCCTCAGGTGGCCAAGGCGGCCTGACTCGGGGAGCACCCGCACCCGGAGCAGGTCGCCCGCTGCCGTGTGTCCCTGAGTCCTTCGTGGCTCCAAAGGAATAATGAGATACACTGCGGGTGTGCCTGGCGCTATGCAGGTGGTGCCACACCGTTACTGTGCTCCGCGCCGGGCAGTGTCCACCAGGCAGGTGCGGCTGCAGCACCTGGCAAAAGCCAGGGACCATCCAGAAGCTTCAGGGAGCCTCCCTGAGGAAGGTGGTGCCGCGTCCCGTAGGAGCAGTGGTGTGCGCCAGCCGCCCAGCTCCGCAGCGGCTGTGGCTGCCAGCTGGCAGGGAGCACGCTGGTCTGCTGCCGCTCGTGTGTGCAGCGGCCGCGTCTGCTCTAATGGGCACAGGTGGCTTTACAGAGAAGGGAAAGATGCTGAGCAGACCCCTGGCTCCCCGATCGCTGGCGTGGGGGCAGCACCTTGTGAGCACACTGTGTGAGGCAGGCCCCCTTCCCTGTGGCCCTCAGGGTCCCGACCTGAGGGCGCGTGGTCTTGGGCCTGGTAGAAGCCCAGCCGCCCTCCGTGTGGTACCAGGAGAGGTGGTTGGTTTGCTGACTTGGCGTGGAGCCACCGCCTGCCCCTCACCCTGTGGGTGGTGCCCTGCCGCATCCCAGCGCCGGGCGCAGAGCGGGCACCTTACACGTGCTTGAAAATGAGCAGCCATGGTCAGGGGGTGGAGGGAACGGCTCACTCTTCACAGACACAGCAGATGGGAAGTCAGTCACGTGGTTGGAAAATCTTGGCCTCCCCCAGACAGGACTGAGAGAGTCTGCCCTGGTGCCGGGGACTTGCGCCTGGCCCCCAGGCTTCCGACCCACGGGGCGGGGGGGGGGGGGGGCGCCGGGACAGTTCCTGGCCCAGCCCGCACTGAGCCCGCCCCCGGCCCCCAGGACGTGCACCATGGCAACGGGACGCAGCAGGCCTTCTACAGTGACCCCGGGGTCCTCTACGTCTCCCTGCACCGCTACGACGACGGCAACTTCTTCCCGGGCAGCGGGGCGCCCGACGAGGTGCGCGGGCGCCCGGGGGAGGGGGAGGCGGGGCCCCCGCCCAACAGGAGGAGGGCCCCCAGGAGGCGACCGGAGGCAGGCAGCTGGATCCCAGCCCCTGTGTGCCCGGTGGTGCCTGACCTGCCGGGTGGAGGCAGCCAGCGGTGGCCTGGGCGGGGATCGGCAGAGCACCCCGTCCCGTGTGGGCCCCTCGGCCAGGGTGCCTGTGCCTGTGCCCCCGAGCCCTGGAGACGGCAGCTCAGAGCCTTCGTGACACCCTGAGCCCAGCCAAGCCCAGCAGACTCTGAGCAGAGGCCCCATGGTGGGGGCTCACACCCAGTGAAACAGCCCAGCCCCACCCCCAGGCCTCCTTTCCTGAAAGGAAGTTGAAAGAGTGGCCCGTGTCTGTCTGTCACTCAGCACAGAGCTCCGTGTCCTGCCCCGGCCCCACCCCTCACTCCCACAGGTTGGGAAGACGGGCCTGGGGACCCCTGAGCTCTGCAGGACCACATAGCTGTTGGCGTGTCGGGTGTGGGGCCTGGTGACCCACAAGTGAGGCTGGTGCAGGGTGCCGGGGCTTGTTGGCCAAGGGCCTGTGACGTGCGTCTCTGCTTTGCACAGGTGGGCGCAGGGCCGGGCGTGGGCTTCAACGTCAACATGGCCTTCACTGGCGGCTTGGACCCCCCCATGGGAGACGCGGAGTACTTGGCCGCCTTCAGGTGAGTGTCTGGCTTCCTGTCCCCAAGGCATCCAGGGATCTTCCCGAACTCAACCCCTGAGTTCCCAGCTTTCATTGGCTGTGACCTTCACCTTCCTGTCTGAGCACCTCAGATGCACCTCGGGGAGGGCCCTCCCGCAGCCCCAGGGTGCACGTGCAGAGGTGGCGATTTCTGTCACTGCGTTGGGAGGAGCGGCGCTCTGGGCCCTGGGGTTGTGTCCTGGTCCCTTCTTCAAGCTGGGGGCGGGCCCTCTGAGGCACTCCTGCCTGCGCATCACCTGGGGCTGGGAGCGTGTCTCAGGCCCTGGCAGTGGGGCGCAGGCGCCGGGTGTGCGGAGTGGCGTGCTCACGGAGAATGGGCACGTGGTCTGAAAGGCTGCCGTCTGCTGACCTGTTCCGGCAGTTGACCACGAGGAGGTAGCAGACCGAAGCCATCCTGCGCCTTCATCGATAGCAATGGCAGGGAGGGTTGAGCTGGTCCAGGCCTGTCCTTTGTATCATGCCGGGCCCCCAGAACGGAGCTGTGGGCCAGCTACCGCCACGGGGTTCGCTGTTGGCGTCCGGCGTCAGGCGGGGCCGTCTGCTCCTGTCTGGGAGCTCCATGGCAGCGCAGGCGGCCTGGCGGGCTCCGGAAGAGGCGAGTCCTGTTCAGTGGTGCCGTCTGACCAGCCTGAGCCCTGGTGAGAGGACCCCAGGAACCGGCCCCACGGCCTCTCCGGCGCCGCCCCTCCGCCTCCTGTCCTGCGGCCGAGCTTCCACAAAGGTCACGCTAGCAGGCACGGGCCTTCAGGTGTCACGGGCACCCTGCCTTGGGCTCCTGTGCAGCCGGCAGCCGTCCCGTGGCCCCGCGAGGCACCTGCTTGCTCGCCCCAGAGGGGGCCCCAGTCCCCGATGCCGGCTGTCTCTCGGGGTCTGCCCTGGGGAGGCCTTCGGTCTGCTGCTCCAGCAAGGGGACTGGTCTGTGGCGATACTGGCTGGTCACCTCCTGGAAGGCCCACCCAGCTGTTCACCTGAGTCACTTTTTCCGCTGGTCTTTGTTTTTTAAATTTGATCTTACTCCATCAGATACAGTGGAATTTTGATCATTGCTCTGCCTAATTAAAGGACATCTCACAGGTAGAACATCTGAAAATTCGCGTCATACACAGCTGAGCCTCAGCCTTGTGAGATCCAAACTCCGCGGCGGCGCCCCTCCCAAGAACTGGCCTCCCAGGAGGCTCCTTTGCAAACTGATGTCCCATTGCCACAGTGAGGGGCGAGGACAGTGCCCCCGTGAGTGTTGGTGCCCTCCAGGGACCAGGGGGCACTGAGTGGGCGAGATCCGGTGAGGGCAGGGGAGGAGTGAGAATGGGCAGGCCTTTCTTTCCAGTTGTTCTGCCGGGTCGGGCCCTCTGAGCCAGGGGTGGGTTTGCCTGCCAGCGCCACCTCTGGCCCCTCGTCGGTGCGAGCAGGGTGGGGGCCATCCGAGGGCCTGGGACATTGTTCTCTGTCCCTTTAAGGTGGACGGTCTCCTGAGAGTCGCTGTCGACGTTCGGTTTTAATCTCCTGCCAAGTTCGGGCATGATGACACCTTATCAAATGGGCTTTGTAAAGCCTGAATCGCTGCTTTGAAAAGGAAAATTGTTTCAGGATTTTTTTTATTGATTTAAATGTAAAATAGCACTTTGAAGTTCACAGTTTATGGTTCCTCAGGCATTGATCGGAGGGGAGGGAAGGTCAGAACCTGTCTTCCCCTTTTTTCTGGGCTCCCCCCGGGGCCGCGGACGGTGCCTGAGAGGGAGGCTGTGTTCCTCTGACGCCCGCCACGTCACATTTCAGGAGATCAGGCCTGCGATGCGGAAGAGATAAGAAAGTGGCCCCTAATGAAATCCAGGAGCAGCGGCGCTTTCTCCTGGGGGCGAGGGGGAGAAGGGGGCTTAATTCAAACCATCGGGCGAGGCTTTGAAGTTGGTGGAGGAGGCCCGGGTCTGTGCCCGGGGAGGTGAGGGCCCACTTTCCTTAACCCCTCGCTTACCTGTGTCAAGTGGCCACCTGTCCACAGGAAGGTCGGCGGCGTCAGGGCCTTTGTGCCTTGAAGCCGCCCTGGGGTGGCAGCGGACTTGTGTGCCCCACGGCAGCTCCTCGCCAAGAGAAAGCAGAGGCGCCTCCCGGGCGTGACAGAGGTGGGGCGAGTGCAGCCTCCACTACGCCTGCGAGGCGAGTGTGGCCTCTTTCTAGCTGCCGCGTGTGCTGGCGTGTCCGCAACACTGTGCTCCCACCGCCTCTTCGACACGCCTCTAGGCTCTCCACGTCTCCCCTGGGTGGGGTGTGACCCAGGGACCTGCTGTAGCGACTTCAGAAGCAGAAGACAGAAGCTCAGTGGAGGAGGCCCACGCCTTGTACCTGCCCCGGGTGGCGGTGGGGTTAAGACAGGAGACGCACGCAGCTCCTGCCCCCTCAGGGGCTCAGCGGGACCCCAGGGCCCCAGCAGGCACTGCAGCCACGGAGGCGGTGCATTGTCCGCCTGCTCACTGGGCCTGCAAGAGTGGGGGGTCGTGGGAATGGGGGGCACTGGGCGTTCCCACAGGAGCTCGTGCTGGCACAGAGCCATCTGGGTGGGGGCTGCCTCCAGGGAGCGGGACTGTGTCCCTGGCTGTGACAAGGGGAGCAGACACTGCACAGTGTGCCAGCAGAGGTGGATGGGTGGGTGGCAGGCACCAGTAGGCCAGGGCACAGGGTGGGTGGGGGTGCCCGGCAGAGCAGCAGCAGGAGCAGGTTTGGTGGCCTGGAGCGTGGCCAGCGGGGGACAGTGGTGTGTGAGCCGGTTTTCAGGAAGGAACTGGGAGAAGCTTCTCTGATTTGGGCAGTTGGGGGCCACCCTGGACTTGGGGGACAGTCGGTGGAGGTCAGGACAGAAAGAGCAGTGTGGGGGTGGGGCAAGAGACAGCAGACGTGCTGCTCTTCTGAGGGCCTGTGGGGGTGGGGACAGGAGCCTGGGCCCTGCCCCGAGCGAGGCGGGAGCCCCGGGGAGCACAGGGACACCGAGGCAGAGGCCTGGGTGTCGCACAGCAGCAGGGCCAGGGCCGTGCAGGTGGCCTGGAGGACAGCAGTAGCTGTGGGGACGAGGGGGTGCACTGTGCTGGCCCAAGGCCCCCTGTGGTGGAGGCAGCGGCAGAGCCAGGCAGCCACGCCCTGGAAGTGACTGAGCATGAAGACCCGGTGGGAAGGGGGCAGGGAGACAGGGTAGAGGTGGAGGCACCAGCCCAGAGAGGATGCCCCCACTGCACCAGGGTGACCTCTAGGGGCACGCGGGGCCCAGTTTCACGATATAGACGGGGCTGCAGGGGCGGGGCAGGTGCCTGTTGGTGCCCGTTCTGACCCCCACAGAGGTCAGGTGTGTGGGGACGACTGCTCCAGTGGCTGGCCCTGGGACTGGGGTGCAGACAGTGGCTTTGGGAGCTGTCTCCAAAGATGGGACCTGAAGCACCAGCTGCCCTGTGCTCAGGGGCCACACCCCCCATGCACGCAGGCCAGTTCCCTTGGTTTGCCCTGCTCTGTCCCCTCGGAGCTTCACCAGAGCCAGGGCCATCGCAGGGCCCAGGGCCCCCTGGGACAGTAACCGCCTCCTCACACCTCCTGTGCTGAGGGGCCCGGGGCGCACCACCGACACACGCTCGCCTGTCTCCTCTCAGAGACCCGCTGCTCTCTCACTGCCAAGGGCACAGCTACCAGGCGACCTGCTTCCTCGGGACTGCCCCAGCCCACCCCTCTCCGCCCTCAGAGGGCCCCTGCTAGCGGCCCTGGGCAGCCCCGTAGGAACACCGTGAGGTGACTGCACAGGGGTGAGGCATGAGGCCAGTTTGCAGCGTCCGTGAAGGACCCACGGACACCCTTTCAGCCCCCTGTCTGGGGTCCTGAGTGGGTGGTGATGGTGCTGGACAGGCTCCTCGGGAGTTGCTGCGTTCGGCTCGGGCAGAAACCTCGAGGGGAGCAGCACGTCTCGGGCCAGACACTGCAGTCGGTGCTGGAGCCCCGCTCGGCACAGGCCTGGCTCTCGGTCCACTTTAGGTTCTTCTTCGCTGAGTGAGTGTTTGGGATGATGGCGTAGCGGCCCCACGCCAGGACGTAGCAGCGAGTGCGCACGTCCTGCACTGTCCGGCTGCGCATGCGCGCCCAGGGTGCCTGTGCAGCCACAGTAGCGGGGCGGCTGTGCTGCCTGCGCCCTTCGTTTCGATCGGCTCTGAGGCCGTGCCGCACGTGGAGCACGGACGCCAGGGCCCCCTGGTGGTCACTGCCGCTAGTGGCGGGTGTTTCGAATCGGGGGCGCGGCCCACCACACTTGGAGCGGGTGCTCCCGCCGCTGTGCCTGGGGTGCGCAGGGTCCCCGTGCATGTCTGTGGCTCCAAGCTGGCGTGTCCTGGCTTCCAAACCCGCACCAACAGCATGGCTGAAGCTGCCTTAGTGCCCGACGCGTTTGTGCGACGGGAACTTCATTGAACACGCATCTCCCTGGAACGACCATGAGGGAGCGAAGGCCACGGGTGGGTGTAGACCAGTGCTGCCCTTGCAGCATTGAGAAAACCAGGCCCGCGGGGCCTGCGCCTGTGCCCTAGGGATGGCCCCGCGCCGGCCAGCTTCTCCTGTGCCAGTCTGCGCCTGCTGTCTGGCCGGCGGCCGCCCTGCTCTCAGCGCCTGTCGGGGCTGTCCATGTGGGCTGCGTCTGTGCCGGAGCCGGGGCAGGACAGACGCCTCCGCGCACTGTGTGCACAGAGCCTGTGGGCTCGGTTGCCACATCCCTGTGGGTACAAAAGGTGTTCGGGACAGGGGCCAGCACCACAGTCACGGCACCGAGTCTGGAGCAGGGGTTGGCAGTGTGGGGTCCTCGTGCCAAATGCACCAGGTGTTTTTAAGTGACATTGTGCCAGGACACAGCCTTGCTCACGCCCTGTGTGTGTCTGCTCACACAGGACCGGGCAGTGTTGGGCAGTGGCAACACACCGTGTGGCTTGGAGACTGGCACACTGAGTCTCCAGCCCTTGGCCAGAAGCTGCCTGAGCCCTGCCCAGGCTCTGGGCTTTGTCCCGTGGGGCGTGAAGGACATTCCAGAGCAGACCCTAGGTGGCGGGGGGTGTGTTCCAAGGAAGTTAGCGCACTGTGCTCAGCCAGGGTGAGTTGGGGGCGGGCCAGAGGGCTCAGTCCCTTGGGACTGGGGCTGCGAGAGGGCTGCCACCTCAGCCACACACAGCCCAGGTGCTGGGCTCAGGGCCGGCGGAAGCGAGTGGGGAACTGAGCAGAGCCGCCCACGCCTTCCAGGGGACCCTTCGCTGCAGCCCCGGGAGCTGCCGCACTGCGCCGTGAGGTGTGCTGTAGCTATGGGTTGTGGGTGGGGTGCTCAGCATCCCCTGGGGCTGGCTGGTCGGGACTTTTCAGGCCCTGTGAGGTCCTGGCCCCCCAGTGCCCTTGGCCTCAGACCTGGAGGGGATCTGGGACAGGTGCAGTCAGAGACCAAGCGGCCCCCCTCCACATTCCAGTCCCTTGCTGATTCCTTGTCGCCTCTCCTGCCTTCTGCAGAATGGTGGTCATGCCGATCGCAAATGAGTTTGCCCCTGACATGGTGCTGGTGTCGTCCGGCTTCGACGCCGTGGAGGGCCACCCCACGCCTCTGGGCGGCTACAACCTCTCTGCCAAATGTAAGTTGGGTGTGCAGGAACGCACAGGGCCCTGCTCTGTGTCCGAGGACCCGCCCTCGGCGGCAGTAGGAGGACGCTGTTTTTTACATCTTGCCCAGGGCGTGGTGCTGCTGGAGACTGTGTGGGGGTGGGGCCCCGAGCAGGTACAGCTCAGAGTCGGGGAGAGGGGGCCCCAGGCTGCCGCCCCCCCACCCCGCTCACCCAAGTCAAGGGGCTGCCGTCAGGTGACGGCCCTGCTGCTGCCACAGGAAAGCAACGGCTGTGAAGACCACCCTGCCCACGTGGGCAGGTCACACACAGACCACCTGGCACGGAACCCCAGGTCCACAGGAAGGCGCTGGGTGCCACCCACCACCTAGCACTACAGCTGTGAAGGCAGTTGAGTCCTAGGACTCCTGGGGCTCCCTGGCAGCCCCTTGTGCTGACCCCATGGGTGCAGATGGCCAAGGAGAGCCTGCCTGTCCCTCCCCTCCCACAGGAAGTGGGCGGGCACCAGAGAAGAAAGCGGGAAGCAAAGGGCATCTGTGGTGTGGCCGAGCAGCTCGGTGGCTGAGGAAGTGGCCAGGCAGCGGCCAGCGTGCTCGGTGTGCCCAGAACCCCTCGGCGCCCAGCCCAGGCTGAGCTCCTGCACACGGTCCTCACAGCTCCTGTTCCCATCAGAGACAAGCCAGGGTTTCCGGAGGGGACGGCCTCACGGTGCCCACTGCAGCCAGGGAGCACCTAGGCTGCTGGCGGCCAGCTGGCGATGGGGCTGCTGACCGCTGTGGCGGGGCTCTTCCTGGCTCTTTAACAAATGTCAGGCTGTTGTGGCCGAGGGTGGTAATTATCATCACCCGTCAGGTGTTCGTGCCCATGGGAGGTTGACATGGGCGCAGCGGAGGGACTGTGGCTGTTGGTGAAAGCCAGGTGCTCCAGACACAAATGTCCGAGTTCTGGAGGGGCACGTGTGGCGCTGATGTGTGTGCTAGAATGTGTGCGTGCATGCGTGTGTCCTGCACACCCACTGAGCAGAGCCCTGGGCCCCAGGGGTGGATGAGGCACGCCCCAGCGGCTTCCTTGCCCCAGGCGCCCTGCCTCTGGGCCTCTGTCCCCGGGAGAGAGCTGAGGAGCTCCTCCCACAGCCCCTCCCCGTCCCCAGATGAGATGATTTGCAGCATTATAAAATCAAAGCACTGAAACCATAATTCCTGCTCTCACACAGATCAAACAGACTCCCAAACCGAAATTCTCCCATGAATTTACTGCAGCCCAGCCTGGCTTCCATTACGAGCCGCGGCGCCGGCCCCCGGGGTCTGCACGTGACGTGATGCGTTTCTGGGCCCTTTGATCTGTCGCCAGAGTCGGCTCGCGCCCGTGCTGCCCTCCACTTCATCTCCCACTTCCTGTTGCAGGTTTCGGGTACCTGACGAAGCAGCTGATGGGTTTGGCTGGCGGCCGGATCGTTCTGGCCCTGGAGGGGGGCCACGACCTCACAGCCATCTGTGACGCCTCGGAAGCGTGTGTCTCTGCTCTGCTGGGAGACGAGGTAGGAGGTCAGAGCTGCAGGCTGCTGTGTGCAGGCCCGGGGCCTGGGGGGGGCCGCCTCACTGGCTGCCGCCCGGTGTCCAGCGTCCCTGCACCCGGTTAACAGGCCAGTGCGCGGCTGGCGCAGCTGCTCAACGTGGCCGGAAGGAGGTGAGACGAGGCTTGTCAGGGTGTGTCTCCTAAAAAGGTCATTCAGGACCTTGGGTTTTGGACCTCGTTGTGGGTCACCAGGACAGTACCCAGCCTCACAGTGGCCTCCAGAGACCGCTAGTTTCCTGCAAAGTCCTGGGGCAGGTCCCGGAAGGGGACCACTGTGCGGGTCTCGGGGCCAGGCGGGGCCTCTGCCTCTGGGTCCTGAGATGCCAGACTGGCTCTGCACGCTGCCCCGTCGAGGCTGCAGCACAGTCCTCGAGATGCAGTGGCCACAGCAAGCACAGGTCTCCAGGGCCTGGGCCGGGCGGCCGCGGGACTTCCGAGGGTTCAGGGAGAGAGCCCCTGGGAGAGCAGCGTCCGCTCCCCGCCGCGGTGCTCCGGGTGCGGAGGACGGGAGGGCAGGGGGAGGTGCTGCCCTGGTGGCACGGTGCTCTGCCAGCTGAGTGTCTGAACTTCCTGGCACAAAACTGGTTTGGAAGCTTCTGCTTTCAATTTCAAAAAAAGAAAGGTGCTTTTCCAGAAACCTGAAGTCCACCCACAGGCTGGGCTATGAGGCCCTGACCCCACGACGGTGCCCGGGGCCAGTTCGGGGGTCCCCAAGAGTATCTTTCTCTGGTTTCGACATCACATGTGGCTCCTGGAAACAAGCCAGCTAGTGTTTGGGGAGCTTGGGCGGGTGCCCCGGACCACATGCCCGACCACCCCAGGCAGGGGCCCCGGGGAGCAGGGGCTCCGCTCTCCTGCGGTCCCCTGGGGCTCGCTTCTCACCCACCAGAGAGACGGGGCCTGCCCAGCTCAGCATGTGCAGGGACACACCTCGGTTGGGTCAAGCTTCCTGGGGGGTCCTGTCGGGGGCCTGTCGTCTCCACGCCCACCCTGCTGCCGGTCACACGGAGAGTGTGAGCTCCGTCTTGAGTGCGCCACCTCGCCCGCTCACTGCCTGGTGGGGTACCCTCCTGGCCGTCTGCGGCTGCTCCCAGAGACGCCCACCAGGGGAACAGCCCGCGGTAGGACACCGGGTGCCGTCGGGCTGGCATCCACACCCCATGTTCAGTTTGCACCCCCAGGCTGTGCTGGGCTCTGGTAGTGGACAGGTCTCTGTGAACTGATAGAAGGTAGGCTGTGGGCAGGAGGAGGAGGTGTGTGCCTAGTGTCCTGCCAGGCTTGGGGACTCAGGGACGGGGGTGGGGACAGAGACGACAGGGGGCATGCAGAGAGAAAGGCAAGGTCTGCAACCAGGGCCGGGCCTTAGCCCAGCTGAGGGTGACAGTGACCTTCATGGAGCCGAACCCTGGGAGGCTGTGTGTCCTCCCTGTGAGCGGGCCCCGGGACAAGAGCCATGGCTCTGTCCACCCCACTCCAGGCCAGGCTGGAGCAGGGTGGTGACCAGGTGAGCCCAGTCCTGGATGGGGGTCGGCGCCCAGCGCCCACTTTCTGCAGTTGCAGTCTTGATGGTGGAGCTCAGAGCCCGGGGACAGGGATGTGGCCCCAGTGCCCGGCTAGCAGTTTGGACCTCACAGCCCGTGGAGCCCAGCCCACCCCCACCCACAGGCGGCACTGTTCCCCTCACAGACAGTCCTTCTGGTCATGGGCGTGTCCTTTTGAAGCCAGGTCGCAGGTAGACCAGCCGGTCCTGGCTGCGTCTCTCGGGTCTGGTCAGCTGGGTCGTGCTCCCAGATGAAGTGCTTCTTAAGGGGTCCACAACGTTCCCCCTACACCTGTTCTGTCTTCACGTAGAGCAGGCTTCTCTCTTTTTCACTAGAGATAAAAGTCAACCAACTTCTGTATTTAAACTATCCTAGAAGCTTTTGAATTCTTCAAGTTATTTTAAAGAAACAGTAGAGAACTGAGCTTTCAACCAGGGCCCTGCTTCCCGAGGTGTTTGCTCTTATAACAAAAAAACTTTCCTTTACGTACATCAAAAAGCAGGAAACGCTGATTTATCAAGGTCATTTAAAATCTCTTTAATGCAAGAAAGTTGGACAGGGCCCCGTGCCTCTGCCCCACGGCCTTTGATGAGGGTTGATGGACGGCGTGTTGGACAACTTGGCGGGTGCAGCAAGCGGCCAGCTGTGGCCAGTGTGGCCACCTCCGGGGAGGCTGGGGCAGGGCCTGCTGTAGGAGACAGCGCCGTGGCCAAGGTCGGCGCCGCTTCCAGGAGCCACTGTGTGTGACAGTTCAGCTTTGTGTGCGGCTGCCAGTGAGAACGGACGGTGAGATGTCACTGAAGCGTCTCTCAGGAGCCGTGTGGACGGAGGTGCGGGGAGTCCGGTGGGTGGGACGCCGGAGGAGCTTCTCGGCCTGTGGGAACTGTCGTTTCTCAGGTCACTCGTCCCTTCTGCAGTAGCATTTTGTTTGGGCCAACTCTCTGGTTAACCAGGTGGCATTCCAGGGTTCAGAGCCACCATTTGACTCCACCGACCCCGCAGTTAGCGGAGGAGCTCGCGGGGGGGCTGGGTGGAGTCACGGTGCCAGGAGAAGAGGTTTTCACTGGGAACCGAGCAGCTTCATGGGTTACTGTGCGTTTGGAAAGGTGTGGCTGTGACAGAGCGCGAGGTGGCTGGAGACTGTGCGTGTGGCCCTGGCCAGGCGGCTCCACTCATGGAAGCTTCATCCTGTGGCCAGAGGTTGCAGGTTCAATACCTGGTCTGGACAGGTGCGATCCCTGGTGCAGGTATGTGTGGTCCTTGGTCCTGCCACATGGACAGAAGGTGACCAGGCACCCTGGCGTCTCACATCGGTGTCTCTCTCCTCCGAGGGATGGTCCGTCTGGCGGGCCTGGGTGTGGGCTTTCTCTGTCGACACCTTGGCTTGGGTCTCGAGGCCTTCCCGACCGGAGGGGCGATGCCGCTGGTTCAGCCTGGAAACCCTCAGCCGGGGCACCTGTGCCGCCACCTCCCTGCCCCCGGGGCTGCATCGGACTGTGGCTGCCCTGTGGCTTCCACGTTGGTGTCACAGTGGACAGCTGGTGGTACCAATGACGGCAGCCCCTGGGGACTGCACATTCACTTTGGAGCGCCTTTCGATTTACTAGAAATAGCAGACTTGGCACCCGCACTCCTGTGTCCCTCAGTTTCCTCTCTCGTCACCACCATGCCTCGGTGTGAGATGTGGTCATTGCCCAGGAGCCGACCCTGGGGCAGGTCACTAAATCCCTGCACACGTTGGGATCTGCTGGTTTTCCCCGATGGGCCTTCTGTCGCCGGGCCCCACAGTCGTCCTGCCTCCTCGTCCCCCAGGCTCCTCTGGGCTGCAGCAGCTTCCCAGTCTTTCCGCGTCCTCGTGACCACGACAGTTTGGGGGAGCACCGGTCAGTGTTCTACAGGCTGTCCTCCGTGTGTTTTGGTCTGATTTTTCCCTCTCGTGATTGCACTGGGCTGAGAGATTTGGGGAGCAGGCCCCCAGAGCTCGCACGCCCTTCTCCCCACTTCCTGCCCAGTGCGCCGTCCACGCGGCTCTGCGGGAGCTGACCGGGGGCACCGGCCGACAGTGGGCTGCCTCCCCCCGGGAGGTCCTCCTTGGCCGGAGGTCACCTGTGCAGCCCGGCGCCCGCTCCGGGGCAGGGTGGGGAGGCCGTGGGTTCTGACCGCCGTTCTCACGGGAGAGCACGGCCCACCCGTTTGTTTCAGACTCTGGATTGTAACTGAGCACCGGGTTATGTGTTCGGTTTCCCGCGGGCCCCAGTGTCCGTCTTTGAGCTGCTCCGCACTCTGCACTAGCAGCCGCCCCAGCCTCCACTCGCCCCACCAGCCGAGCTTCCAGGCACCCGGGCGCCCCTCACTGCAGGACAGTGTCCAGCACCTTGGTTGCTTCTCCGGGCCCCTCACAGCTGGCTGGCTGCTGGGCTTGATGATCGGCAGTGCTGCGGCTCGAAGCGGAGCCGGCAGCTAACTGGTGGCCTGGCTTGGGGATGGGGCCCCAGGAGCGGATGGACAGTTGCTGTGCCGGGTCTCAGAGCCCAGTTCAGCACCAGGTGGAGCCGCAGTGACTGTTCTAAGCTTCTGCCCAGAGCCGAGGCTGAGAACCAAAACTGCTTCCATTCGGCTCCGTGGACACGGCGCCTGCCCTCCCTGGCAGGTCTCCCTGGGGTTTGTAGGTTTGTCAATGGCTGTGTTTTCCTTCTGTGTCGCAGCCGCTCCAGTCTGCTGCTTGGCCCTCTAGCGGACTCTGAATGTGGCCAGCACATGCGGCCAGCACCCAGGGCCACCTGGTGCTGTGGTTCCTTCTGCTCTGCTCACTTCCTTCCGCACCCGTGTTAGAGGGGCGCTGTGGCCGGGGCAGAGTCGCGCGTTCTCAGGCACAACAGCAGGAACGTGCAAGCAGTGTTTCCCGAAGGCAGCCGTTGCCCCTCCTCGTCTGCCGTGGTCTGTACAGGTCCCCCTGGGCACCGTCATCCTGCCCACAGGGGGGCCTGCGCGCGTCCCTGAGAGTCCTGAGGAGAAGAAATCTACTTTTGGGAAAGTTTACGTAATGAAGTCCAGACCCTTGCCTGGCTCTGTACAGTTACCTTCCTCCGTGAGCTACTGCGTGCAGGGCACGGGTGCTGGTTGCGCACGGCCCCCAAATGTGCCCGGGGACTGTGCTGGCATCTTCTGCAGCTGCTGACTGCTGGCTGCCCATCTGTTGCAGCTCCAGCCTCTCCCGGAAGAGGTGTTACAGCGGAGACCCAATGCCAATGCCGTCCGCTCCATGGAGAAGGTCGTGGAGATCCACAGTGAGTCGTCTGGCCGAGTGTCCCCCACCCCTGCCCTGTGTCCCCAGCCCTGGGCTCCTCTCTCTTTCGCTGCTGGCTGTTGCCTGGGCCTGTATGACAGTCAATAAGGACTGTCACCGAACCCCCCCCCCCGTGAGCTCCCCACAAAGCCAGAACGTGCTGTCAGCACAGGTCAGAAGAGCTTGGTGCCAGGGGTCTGTGAAGCCACGTGGTCCAGGTCCCCAGCTAAAAGGGATGGGACTGGGGTGTGAACCGTGTCCCCAGGTCCCGTCTCTTCCCCTGACCAGAGAACGCCCTTACCCCAGACCCAGGGGAGGGAGCAGGCCCCATTCCTCTCACTGCCCCTTGAATGACAGGCCTGGGGACCAAGGGAGTTGGCACCCAGCAGGGGACTCCGGTGAGCCAGCAATGCCCTGTCCTTGTTACAAAGCTCAGTTTGTCCTGGGTCCTTGGACTGGCCCAAATCATGGAGGCCGTCCACGTAGTTGAGTGGAAATCTGGGGTCCTGCCTGGGTTCCTAGCCTCAGAGCTGCGTCCCCTTCCATGTGCCAGGGAGCACGGAGGGGCTGTCCGAGGGTCATGCCCAGCCCTCCTGCATGGTCCCCTCACTCTGAGGCCCCAGACAACGCCCCCAGTCATCTTGCAGGGTCCGAATCGGACCCTGCAGCACCGGGGGATGGTCTTCCCATGCTCGCCCACTCCCGGAGTCAGGGAGCTGGCCATGGAGAGCCTGCCCGGGCCCCAGGCCCACAGAACCCGTAACCAAGCACTTCCCGTCCTCAGGCCAGTACTGGCGCTCCCTGCAGCGCCTGCCCTCCCCCGCGGCCTACTCCCTGATCGAGGCCCAGAAGTGTGAGAACGAAGAAGCCGAGACCGTCACCGCCATGGCCTCCCTATCTGTGGGTGTGAAGCCCGCCGAGAGGAGGTGAGCCCCATGTGAGACCCTGGCCTGCTGGCCTGCATGACTGATGCGCCCCCAGGGCAGTTGGCATCTTTGCTCCTGTGCGGGGAAACCCTCGGAGGGCACCTGGGGGGGGCCAGTGTCCTTAAGCAGCTCGAGAGCCCGGCCAGAGTGGCCACATATTTCCAATGTGCAGGACCCTTTAAAGCAGGGGGAGTGTGTACCCCTGAATAAGGTGGTTCCAGGAACACCTGGCCAGAGCCAGGAGTTTTAGGCAGGTGGGGCTGGAGGAGTGACCGCAGTCCTGTTGGAGGATGAGGGACAGACAACAGGCAGAGAAGCCACCTCGGTGCTGCCACTAACCGTCCATTCTTTCTCTTCCCTGCTGTGCATATGTTCCTCCCGGCCACCCCCACCCCCCTCCGGCACTGCCACAGGCCCGATGAGGAGCCCATGGAAGAGGAGCCGCCCCTGTAGCCTCGCCTGCGGCTGGGACCCTCTCATTTGTCCGTCCGTCTCAAAGTTCCGCCAAGAAAAGTTCCTGTTTCTCTGTGTCCTGCCAGGGCCTCTCTCTGAGTCGGCAGGAGCACGGGGCCTGACCCCGGGTCTCACCGGGTGGGGCAGCCTCACACGGAAACCTGGGGCAGACGCCAGGATGCGCGGACACACCGACACACAGGGTGCCAGGCACTCTCTGAGCTCCCACAAGGGAAGCCACGGAGGGAGGAAGCCTGTGGCAGCTCGTGCAGAGTCGCCCAATTTAGTTGACACGAGGAAAAGAAAGTGAAAATCAAAGATCTCACAATACAAAACAAACTTGATTAAAAACTGGTGCTTAAAGTTTGATGACTACCCACAATTCCACAGTCTCCGTTGTAAACCACTCATCTTGTAGCTTACTTTTTTAAGGAGGACGTTTTCTACAGCTCTGGCCTGCCTCTGAACCAGAGCGGCGTGCGGTGAGGGTTTGCAGCCGGGGAGGCGGGAGGGGCCGAGTGGATGAACATTTAAGGAAAAACTGGACAAAAAGTGGAAATGTGAGCTGCAGGAGCCGGCTTTGTCTTCTTGAAGCCGTTGGGAGATGCGAGTTTGTGCCTTTTTTTTATTGCGCTGATGGATTTTTGTGGCTGGGTTTTCTGAAGTCTGAGGAACAATGCCTTAAGAAAAAAATAAACAGCAGGAATGGGTGGGAAGGTGGCCTGTGGGTGGTGGGGCTGGCAGTGCCCGCGGGCAGGAGGCCGCGGAGCTGGCCGGGGCTCTGAGCAGGCACAGGCCTCAGCCAGCAGCTCCTGGGGGGCCGAGAGCCTGCCGCCCTCATTCTGCTTTATTGCTGTGTAAGAAAAATGGAGGTAGTTCCCAAAAAGTGGCAAATACTGTTGGGGGGGGTTTGAAGTCCAACAAATTTTAAACAAATCCAAAGTGTTCTTTTCTCACACATCACACACCAGTTGAGCATCTCTGTCTGGTTTGAAGCATGTCCTAGGTACACTCAGTGTTACGGTCGGAATGCTTTTATTAAAAGCAAGTAGCATGAAGTATTGCTTAAATTTTAGGTATAAATAAATATATATGTATAATATATATTCCAATGTATTCCAAGCTAAGAAACTTGATTCTTACAAAATCTTGATAAAATATTTATAATGCATTTATAGAAAAGGTATATATATATATAAAATAAATGCAGATTGTCAAGGTCCCTGGCGAATGGATGACTTGTGAATTAGCTTTCAAGGTGCTCATGGAAAGGGATCTATGGGAAACACGTGTTTCTGGAGCCCAGATTGGGTCGGTTTCAGATCGCCAACGCATTCGCCACTGGCAACTACCGCAAGTTTGTGCTTTCATTTTAATTGTTTTCTAACAATCCCTCCTGCTCCACGCCTCCACGCACATATGTGGTGAGTTTTTATAGCGAAGAATATGAATTTGCTGTTGATTTTTTTATGAATTTTTCACAAAAAGATCCTGAATAAGCATTGTTTTCTGAATTTCACTTTTTTTCTCACCATTTAGCAGTTTTCTGAATGGTAATAATGTCTAAAACGTTTTCCTTTCTAAATTCTTGCTTGTACATTTTTTAACTTTCAGAGGTGTTTTTTATTGTGTTCCTTTTTGTTTATTTGTACAGTGAGCAGTTTTCTGTGTGTACAGACTGTTGCCATCAGAGTTCATTTTCAGAAAGAGCATTGTGAGCAGCGGCTCTGGGGCCGGCTCGCAGGGATGTGTCCCTCCTGTGCCGGCTGACGGGCTGAACCCAGACTCCAGGGCTTCCTCCCACCCCGCCGGCACTGCTGTGGGGATGGAGAGGGTCCCTCGTGACACTGAGCTGGGTGGCTTGCCAGACACCACGGGCCATCAGTGTTCAGGAAACTTGTGTTAAAACTTCTCTGACCATGTCTTCAGACTAGGATTTTAGCTTCAGTTTTCCAAAGACCTTTAAGCATGTCAGCAATGCATGGCCCGGCACCATTCCGGGTTTTTCCGCTGCAGCCGCACAGCCAGGGCCCTTGCTGCCTGGCGAGCCTGCAGGGACACCAGGTTCCCTAACAGAATAGCCAGCCTTTGCTCTTTTTCTCTTTGACAGAAACTGAACATCACTTTTTACTGGTAACTTATTTTTCAGCACTTGAAGCCACCTACTTCATTCCAAAGTGTGTACCGAGTTCAGACTTGTGGGAGGAAGTTTCGACACAGCGTGCCCACCCGAGGGAACCCCAAGCCAAGTTTCTGAGTTTGGTGGCATTTACAGGGTAGTTTCTGAGAGAGCCACTGACACAGTTGGGTAGTGACCAAATGAATCCAAATTCTTGGATCAGCTTGGTCGTCAAGAGTGCTGCTGTTCGGGTCCAGGACAGTGGTTCGAGGGAAGGACAGGGTGTTTGACTTTCTCCTCCCTCCTGGCCACTCTTTGCTCTGAGGCCCCTAATGGCAGGAGGAGTGCTCCTGTGGGAGCAATGCCACCTGTCCCCAGTGTGGTGCCACGTGTGGCAGGGACCCCCTGCTGCCTGCCTGCTTCTGTCAGCCGTGGATCTTGGGAAGGAGCGCATCATCTGCCATTTTTACAGATGATGGGCGGCATGGGCCTCCTGGTGGCTACCTTCTCACTGGGGGGATTGACTTTTGCTCCCACAGGACACCCTGCAGACAGGCCTTTGTAGCTCACTCCAGCTTCACAGACATGCAGGAAGCATTGCCGTGTAGCCTTTCTTTTCTGTGAAGACACTCGGCCCCTCTCCAGGCCACCCGTCCAGGGCAGACGGCAGGGGGCCTGCCCAGTGTGGGCCGGACCCTGCGTCAGGGAGGACCCCTCACACCTCCCTCTTTGGTCCTTGGACCTTAGCCTTTTCTTCCCTTTTGCAAAGGCCTTGGGGCACAGGCCGGGGGTCGGCAAGTGAGCACTTTATCTCCTTTCACGGGGAACCCCGTGACGCCGCGGGGTTTGCGGTGTCAGCCTGGCCCTTCTGGCTTTCCCGCCAAATTCGGCTGAGCCCCACCAGCAGGCGGCCGTTCGGGATTGCGCCCGCCTTCCAAAGGGCCACTTTGTCAACATGTTTCAGTTTTTCTTTTCTTTCTCTTAAAAATCTGTTTCCAGAGGAAGGACCGTTTTGTGGCGGTCTGATGTGCAGTGAGTCTGGGTTGGAGCACCAGCCTTAGACTTGGTGGTTTTCTATTTTCCATCAGAACATTCCTTCTTTCCTGGTCACAGCCGCGTGCTCATTCCATTCTTTTTGTAGACTTTTGGGCCCACATGTTTTATGGGCATTGATACATATATAAATACACATATAAATATATATGACTCTATTTTTTTACGTTTCCTACACCCGGAGGTTGCATGACTGTACGGCCTGCATGTCTTTCTATTGTATACAGATTTGCACGCCGAACTCGGCAGCTTGGGGGAGGAGAAAATGCCTTTGCAGTCCCCTCGTGACATTTGCTGATTCAAGAGATGGAGATTTTTCTGTAACACAGACCCTTGAAGGAGAGGGGGGAACGTTTGCATCTTAATGAACTTATTCTTAAGAAATTGTACTTTTTCTTGTAAGAAAAATAAAAAGGACTACTTAAACATTTGTCATATTAAGAAAAAAAGTTTATCTAACACTTGTGACATACCAACAATAGAGTTTATTGTATTTATGTGGAAACAGTGTTTTAGGGGAACTGAGCAGAATTCAAGTGAACTGCCTGTCTCTTCATTTGATTTGGAGGAATTTTATTTTGCTTTGTTTTCTTTTTTTTCCTTTTTATCTTTTGCGCTGGCGGGTGAGGTGAGGCGGCCTGTGTGGCCCTGAGGACCAGCTAGCTATTCAGGTGGAGACGCGGTGGGCCCTGAGGAGCCCCTTCCCTCACAGCTGCATTGACTTTTTATTCTTTTTAGATGATGTATGGCTACGATTTCACTTTACACTAAGCCGTTGTGAACTGTGCGAGCACTGTGGTTTCAGAACCTACACTGCATCGAAAGCAACCCATTTCGTCCTATAACGAAGCAGGGCTTGTTGCTAGTTCAGCTCACTTTATCTCTGACGTGATTAAAAGTCTCCTATGGAAAGAAAAGAAAGTGACAGTTTCTGTCGGTTTCGGGGAGGGCATGTACTCCATGGTGGAGGCTCTGGTGTCCAGTGTATGAGAATGACACAGAATATACATGTAATGGGGTTTGACCCTCTTCACCTGAGCTTACAACAGGTGATGTGAAATCCAAGCTGTGACGACATCACGTCCTTCCTGATGCCTGTTCCTACTTGGGATGGGTTCCCACTGGTAGCAGCCACCTGTTTCTTCTGTAATTTAAATCAGTTGTCCGATTGTCTGGAACTTCCAGTGGGTCTTTCTTTTGCTCAGTGGGGTTGGAGGTTTGTTCTTGGTTTTCTTGTTTTGTTTTGTTGGGTGGATCTGCACCGGCTGACGGTGTCCTCTGATGGCCAACCCCACTTCCACTGCACCTGGAGTCCAGTATTTTGTACCTCGTACAACTTGTTACTCTTGTGGTGTCAATAAAGACAGCGTTCATTGCCCTCTCACCTCTAGTTTCTGCTGTGTGCTCTTGTCCTCGCTGGCTCTCATGGACCTGGGACCCTGCGGGGCTACTTTGCCTGTACTCTGGGTTGGGGTGGGGACCCTGAACCATGGAGATGGCCCCTGGGACCCAGATTATCAGCAGGTGGCCCTGTCACCCTTTACATGTACAGGTAGGTCCCACAGCAGTGTCTTCATTTTAAATGTCCAGTAATTTAAGTCCTTGTACTGTTTTCTCCCCCAAAGTACTTTGCAACTTCAGTGACATGGGCTAAAAATGACCACGGAGAAGGACGAGGCCAAAGGGTCTAGGCTCAGCCATCCTCATGGATGCATCCTCGGAGCTCAGCCAAGCATGCTCCCCGCAGGGCGTCGGCAAACTCCCAACAGCGATCCCGGCCTAGCAACGTGCTGCCACCCCCAGACCACTCCACTGTCCTTGCGCTTCCCTGTCCTGTGACCTGTCACTGGGGTGAAGGGTGGTTAAGACCAGCCATGGGGCTAGCTCACTGGGGTCTAGCCACTCCCGGGGGGAGGGGGGGCTGTCCAAGGTGCTGCCTGCCACCCCAAGGGCACTCAGTAAACATCCTGCACACAACCCCCTTCAGGTCTGTTTCCTGGGACCCCCATGCCTGGGCTGCAGAATGAGGCATGGGGAACGGCCATTCGAGCTGACCGCCAGACGGCACAGCTGCCCAGCTGCAAGCCTGGAGGCCAGAGGAGCCAGGACTGGAGACAGAGCTGGGGTCAAGAGTTGGGGATTGGGGGAGTGGGGATGTTTACATGGTCTACCCAACTGACAAGGGGATGGGAGCTGGTGAGAGGCTGCAATGTACCCAGAGCCTCTTTGGCCTTAAGACAGACATTTATGAGGATATGTATATCAATTTACCCCAAAGGAGAGGATCTTATTCTAACAGGTCTCATTTCTGAAACCACTGAAAGTATTTAGCTCTAGGGCTAGGAGGTAGGTTCCTGAGGGCCAATTTTCTTCCATTTTAATTAGAACAAAGGTATTTGCAACATCTTTTGGATAATTTTATCGGAAAGTGACTTTTTAAAGGTATGTTACAAAGCATTGATTATTTTTTACCTTTTGAAAATAAATACTGCAGTCACACTGAGGAGGGAAACTCAGGCTGTGTGCCCACCATGGAGCCTGGTTGGGTGTCACACCTCGCCTTAAACATTTTGATAATGGACACCTGGCAGATGCAGCTCTGCCAACAATCCAGGCTCCTCCACCTAACCGCAGGAGGAACTTGCCCTGAAGTTCCGCAGGAGGAACTGGTCCATGTTTTTGCATTTTTGCCACATAACTTTATAAAACTAAATCTTAGTGTTTCTGACATGTATATAGTACATGATGTCTGTCACATAATAAATAACGTTTTGCTTCTTGCCATCTGATCCCTGATGCATGTTCTTGAGATCCATCCACACATCTAGGACTAACCTAGATGGGTGAGCATCACCCATCTAGGTGTTCACCCATCTAGGTTAGTCCCTGTCGTGTGCTGTGTCACTGCTGACCACAGTTTCACAGCCCAGCCCTCCTGATAGATGCTCCAGCCATTGCCAGTGTTGCTCTTCAAATTGCACTGAATCAGCACCCACCCCCACCCCACCCGTGTCTTCCGGTGCTCATGGGTGTCTCTGAGAGTCAGTTCTGTTAGAGCAATGGCTCCCCCAGTGGCTGCACCAGTTTTCACTTGCACCAGCCCCGACTGGAGAAGGAGTTCCATGTCCCAGAGCAGCAAGGTACCTGTAACCATACTTTTACTTGTAGTGACATGTGGGAATATGCACTGTTTCAGTTTGAATATTTGCTGCTTACAATGTATCATTGCTCAGTTGTTGTGTAGCAAGTGACCCCAACAGCTGACAGTTTGAAAATCAAGCTGTGGGTAAGGACTGGGGTGGTTCAGCAGTGATGGTAGTTTAAGTCTGTCTCAGGTTCCCTCAGGCTCAGTGGCTCAGTGGGAGAGATGCCCTTCAGGCTCACACTTTCTGGTACATAGCAGCCTCCCCTCACCTTCCTATCCACACATGCTATCCGCAGGTGGCCTGATGACCTGGCAGATGCCACCACCAAAGCCAGTGATGCAAGGACACCTGAGGGACAGCACCCAGAAAGACAGAGCCATGGTCCCTTCATACCTGATCTTGGGAGTGATATGTGTCACTCCCAAGAAGTTCTGCCACTTCTGCAACTTAGAAGCCAGAGAGTCCATCACACCCTGGAGGAGAAGGTTGCTGACAGCACCAGCACCAAGAGGCAAAGACCCTTGTTGGCTGACACAGGAGCTGCTGGCCTCTGTCTTCAACTCACCTCACTTTACCACACCTCACCTCACCTCACCTCACCTCACCTCAACTCACCTCAACTCACCTCACCTCACCTCAACTCACCTCAACTCACCTCACCTCAACTCACCTCAACTCACCTCGCCTCACCTCAGCTCACCTCAACTCACCTCACCTCAACTCACCTCACCTCAGCTCACCTCACCTCAACTCACCTCAACTCACCTCACCTCAACTCACCTCACCTCAGCTCACCTCAACTCACCTCACCTCAACTCACCTCAACTCACCTCACCTCAGCTCACCTCACCTCAGCTCACCTCACCTCAACTCACCTCAACTCACCTCACCTCAACTCACCTCAACTCACCTCAGCTCACCTCACCTCAGCTCACCTCACCTCACCTCAACTCACCTCACCTCAACTCACCTCACCTCAGCTCACCTCACCTCAACTCACCTCAACTCACCTCACCTCAACTCACCTCACCTCAGCTCACCTCACCTCAACTCACCTCACCTCAACTCACCTCAACTCACCTCACCTCACCTCAGCTCACCTCACCTCACCTCAACTCACCTCACCTCAACTCACCTCAACTCACCTCACCTCACCTCAGCTCACCTCACCTCACCTCAGCTCACCTCACCTCACCTCAACTCACCTCACCTCAGCTCACCTCACCTCACCTCACCTCACCTCACCTCAGCTCACCTCACCTCACCTCAACTCACCTCAACTCACCTCACCTCAACTCACCTCAACTCACCTCAGCTCACCTCACCTCAGCTCACCTCACCTCACCTCAACTCACCTCACCTCAGCTCACCTCACCTCAACTCACCTCAACTCACCTCACCTCACCTCACCTCAACTCACCTCACCTCAACTCACCTCACCTCAACTCACCTCACCTCACCTCACCTCAACTCACCTCACCTCACCTCACCTCAACTCACCTCACCTCAGCTCACCTCACCTCAACTCACCTCAGCTCATCTCACCTCACCTCAGCTCACCTGGATCTCCATGCTCTCTCCTGTCCTGTCACCCCTCTGGTGTCAGATGGGGTGCAGAACAATCCTGCCCCTGCTCACAGCCCCCACAACTGTGTCTCACTGCTATGACCAAGCTCACCCGCCGGCTTGTCTGTCGCACCTGCTGGAACACAGGCTCTCCGGCTGCTCAGGTCACTCCCGTCTTCCCAGAGAGTAAAACAGGAGACCCGCACACACAGGCTGAGCGGCTCCAGTCTGGGCGGTCACCTGCTCCCTTGCGAAGCTGGGAGGCGGGGATTTAAGATGCCTGTCGGGCTGGTCCTGTACCTCTCAGAAGCGTCACCTTCGTCTCGCTCATTTTCCTTAGGAAGAGAACGCCAAACATAAACGAGTGGAGACGAGACACCACAAGGAAGCTCACTGGTCGGTGAGTGACCGGAAATGGCAGGACTTCCGGTCCGCGGCCCGGACCGCGTTCCGCCCGAGGGGCTCCCGCGGGCGCTCACGGACACTCAGGGCAGATGGGCGTCCAGCGGCCGCAGAAAACTGGCGCGGCCAGTGGACCAGAGACAGCAGCACCCTGGGGCGCCCCTGCGTTTCAGGGGCGCGGCCGGTGGGCGAGGGGGCGCGGGCGGCGTTGCGGACGCTGCCGCCGAGGTGTGGACACGGCCCCGTGGCCGGCCGTCCCGGCGGTGACTCTAACTACCGCCCGTGGTTTCCGCGCGGAGATGCGCCCGCCAGCCGCATTTAACGAGACGTGGGAAACGCCTGGAAACATTTAGCCGCCGGTGGAAGCCCAAGGGCGCGGCGTGGGGTGACCGTCCCCACCGACCGCTGCCTGTGCGGGGAGGACGGCCGCGCGCGGGACAGACGAGACCGAAAACGACGGCGAGGAGGAGAGGGACTGGGCAACCCGGCGGCACGCCGACGGAGGCGGGCTTCCAGGCGCCCTGCCCATCTCCGCCCGCAGAACAGGTTTCCCAAGGGCGTTCGTAGCTGCACCGAAGAAAACCGAAATGCTGGGTGAGTATTTTCTAGCACATTCCCCTCGGGCCCCAGGCACCCAGGGGGACGTCCGTCCCACTGTCCTGAGCACAAGGCCCACCGAAGGCCCCCCCGCAAGGGTCCCCACCAGAGTGAGGTCTCACCTCTTAAGTTCATTTCCCCCGAGATGGTGGGGAATAGGTTGCGATTTCCGATACTTGCAAACTTCACCGTTGTCACTTCCATCATCTTCTGAGCAGAGTCAGGGCTTGGGGACGGAGCCCTGGGGTTGGGGGAGGGGCAGAGGGTGAGTGGTGGGCACCCGAATGTCCTGACTGTTCTGGGGAGCACCACCAGATGGCGCCGGGGCCGCGCTGGCCTCCCCAGAAAGCCAGAGAAGGGGGCTGGGCTCCTGCCTAGCCCCACTGTCCCTCTGCCCCCGGTTCTCTCCCCTGTGGCACCCTCTGGCGGGTGAGGTCTCCTCAAACCTTGGAAAGCCTTGGAGTCTCCCTGCTGCCCTCTTGCTTCTACGGGGCAGGGGATGGAGGGAGTTGGGAGGAGTCCAATGTCCCTTCCCCCAGGCAGAGAAGCTGGGAGTAAGCACCCCGCACCGGCTCCCCCAGGGGAACATGCAAATCCATCAGATTAAGTTTACAACTTGTGAAAGAGTCTTTCTCACTAGGTCAAAGGGACTGGACGTGTTTAATTACATGTG